TGGATGATAGCTTTTACATAGTCACACTAATAGGGCTTCATTCTGTTAACCTACCTCAGTTTACATACACAAGTACCTCCCCAAGACCCTGAACAATCAGGACAAAATTACATACAACTGGTTGAGAGAATCGGCTAAAAACTCAAGTGAGAGTTCTATGACCTCCTGTGTGACCTCTTTCTATGAGGGAAGGTTTACAATTAACACACCCAGCTATGAATATCTTTTGCTAGCAGACACAGATAAATTAATGAAGATGGTGGCTGTTTGGCTCAGAGGGTAATGCTGCACAACATCTTTATACATTCATAATAAGAATCCTTTGTTGCGTTTATGTATCAAAAATATTTTCTGCTAATGTACATCAAGTCCCTTTTGTCATTATATTTGTTATATCTATTATTAATTTTTCTCTTGTGTATCTACATGTATGTGAGAGACATATAGGAAAAGAGATATATGCCTCCATGTATAGACAGAAATTGGAGGATGACCTATGTATTCTTCTCTATTACTCTTCACCCTATTTCCTTAAGACAGGGAGCTGGAGCTATTTTGACAACCAACAGATCCTGTTATTTCATCCCATACCTCTGAGGTTATAAGCATGTGTGGCCATGTCCATCTTTTTAAGTGGATGCTGTGAATTCAAATACATGTCCTATGATGAGCATTCTTCCCACCAGCCTGGTCCCAGAGCTTCGTCAGTCCCAAATGAACACGCAGGACGTTAAATTAATTATGAAGCTGTTGGCTGTTTTCTGTGGTTTATTGTTGGCCAGCTCTGACTTAATTATTAACCCATAACTACTAATCTATATGTTTTTACAAGAACTTATCTTACCAAGGACACCAGCCTCACGCATCCTCTTTTCCCAGGATCACATGGTGACTCTCTACTCTTTACTACATTTCCCAGAATCCTCCTTGATTCCTAGTCCCACCTATGTTGCTTCCCTATTGACCAACAGTGCTTTATTTATCAACCAATAAGGCAAACATATACACAGAAGGACTTCCCCCATCAAGGTCCTCCACCATCAATAGGACAAAACAGTGGCCTACAGAATAGGAAAAGATTTTCATCAATTCCACATCCATCAGAGGATTAATACCCAAAATATATAAAGAACTCAAGAAACTAGACATCAACAGACAAATCCAGTTAAAAATGGGGTACAGATCTAAATAGAATTCTCAACAGAGGGATCTCAAATGACTGAGAAACACAATGTTCAACATCCTTAGCCATCAGGGACATTCAAATCAAAACCACTTTGATATTCCATCTTAACACCTGTCAGAATGACTAAGATAAAAAACACAAGTGACAGCTAATGCTGGAGAAGATGTAGAACAAGAATAACTCCTCCACTGCTAGTGGGAGTGCAAACTTGTACAGTCACTATGGAAATCAATATGGTAGTTTATCAGAAAATTGGTAATTGATCAACCTCAAGACCCAGCTGTACCACACTTGGACATATACCCAAAGGATGCTTAGTCATACCACAAGGAGACTTGTTCAACTACTGTTCATAGCAGCTTTAATCATAATAGCCAGAAACTGGAAGCAGCCTAGATGCCCCTCAACCAAAGAATGGTTAATGAAAATGTGGGACATTTACACAATGGAATATTACTCAGCTGTTAAAAAACAAAAATTATGAAATTTGCAGGCAAATGGATGGAACTAGAAAAAAAAAACATCCTGAGTGAGGTAACCCAGACACAGAAAGACAAACACGGTATGTACTCACTCACAAGTGGACATTAGCTGTTAAGTAAAGCCTAATCATTCTACAATCCACAGACTGCAAGAAGCTAAGTAATAAGGAAGACTCAAGGAGAGATGCACGGATCTCCCTAGGAAGGGAAAATGGAACATATTTTGAGGGTAGACTGGGAGCAGGTGGGGATGATAACAGGATGGATAAAGTGATACGGAAGTGATGGATGGGGACAGTACTGGAAAAGACAACTGGAATTAGAGGGGCACTTGGGGAGCCATGAAGAAACCTAGTGCAGTGGAAACTCCCTAGAATTTACAAGAGTGACCCTATTGAAGTCCCCTAATAATGGGGGATACAGAGTCCTATAGCCGGAGTTTCTGTCCCACCTGGTCTGGCAGCTGTTCGGTCCCAAATAAACACAAAGAGGCTTATATTAATTATAAACTACTGGCCAATATCTCAGGCTTCTTATTGGCTAGCTCTGTCTTAATTATTAAACCATTTCTATCAATCTGTGTATCTCCAGACTGTCTTGACTTACCAGTGATGCCCAGCCCTCCTGATTCCTTCGAAGCTACATGGCATCTCTCTCTGGTGATTTCTCTCTGCCCTTCCTCTTCCCAGAATTCTCCTAGTCTGGTAGCCTCGCCCATACTTCCTACCTGGCTACTGGCTGATCATCATTTATTTACCAACCAATAAGATAAACATATTCACAGCATACAGAAGGACATCCCTCATCAGAGCCCAAACTAGCCATCTTCTATAACCAGGCAAGGCTCCCAGCAGTGGGAGTGGGATATCAATTGAGCACAAACCAGCAACCTACAATCTGTCCTGCCTGCAAGATGTGCTGAGGTAATGGTGGTACAGAACTTGTGGGAGTGGCTAACCAATGACTGGTCCAACTTGAGGCCCACCCACGCCATGAGAGGGAACCCATGTATGACACTGTGGATGGCTAGGAACCAGAGGCTGGTTATCCCAGAGACCTAGAATAGAACTAATTATCATTGACATTTTTTAAAAAGTCAATGAAATGATTCCTAATGATATTCTTCTATACCCATAGATCAGTGTGTAGCATAATCATCCTCAAAGAGGTATCATTTAGCAGTTTATAGGAACAGATGCAGAGACCCACACAAAACACTATGTAGAGCCAGTGGAATCCTGTGGGAGAGTGTGAAGAAGGATTGTAAGAGCCAGAGGTATCAAGTACATCACAAGAGCACAGTCCACAGAATAAACTAAAGCAGGGCTCATAGGGGCTCACAGAGACTGGAGTGACAATCACAGACTCTGTATGGGTCTTAGCTAGGTCCGCAGAGGTTGTGTAGCTTGGTCTTCTTGTGGGATTCCTAACAGTTTGAGTAGGGCTGTCTCTGACTCGTTTTCCTGCTCTTGGAACCCATTTTCTCCTGATAGGTTGCCTCGTCCAGCTTTGATTTGAGGGTATATGACTAATATTATTATAACTTGTTAGGCCATGTTTGGTGAATATCCCTGGGAGACCTGCCTTTAAAAAAAAGAGAGAAACAGTGAAGGAATGAATCAGAGGGATAGAGGAGGTGAGGTGGGGACTGGGAGTAGTAGACAGACAGAAAACTGCAGTCAGTGTATAATATATGAGAGAAGAATTAAAAATTTGTTAAAAACCAAAATAGAAACTAAGGAAACAAAACAAAACAAAACCCTCAGGTCCTGGTGCTTGAACAGTAAGTAGTCTTAGCCAGTAGGTCATCTTCCCATTCCCATATACTTTGGGGCTTGTTTCTGTTTTAAGAAGTGTCTAATGCAGCACAAGTTGCTCTCAATTCACCTTTTAGCAGAAGCTGGATTTAAACTCAAGATCTTCCTGTATTTACCACTTAAGTACTAAGATTACAGGTATGTGCCACTATGCCTGGTTTTCTTTTTTTAAGTTCTTCTTTTTCCTTATTTCTTTATTATTTATTTTTGGAGACAAGGTTTCCTTATTTATTTATTATTTATTTTTGGAGACAAGGCTGCCTTCAAAGTCCTTTTGTGACAGAGGATGACTTTGAATTTCTGATCCTCTTACCTCCACCTCTCAAATGCTACAATTACAGACATGCACCATCATGAATAGTGTATGTATGTTTTGTGTTTTGGTTTGGTTTGGTTTTGGCATGCTAGCTAGGCAGTCCACCAACTGAGATTCATCCCTGTGTGCATATCACATAAAGTAAGGCTCCAACTTCCTCTTTTCCAGTTCCAGCTTCAGTTAACCAAAGGCCCTCTTTACTTATCTAGCTACTTTTTATTGTTTAGCACCCTTGTATATGTGCACAGGTATGTTACAGGATTGTCGGTTCTGTAACATTGTTCAATGTATCCCCTTTCTCTGAACCAACCTCGCCTCCTTCTTTCTTCTCTTCTCTTCTGTTCTCTTTTCTCTTTACACCTAAAAGTAGTTCCTTTAGGGATAGGAGTAGGCTATAAGTTATCAATAATGTGAACTCAGGGTTTTAGGACAGGGTTCCCAAGGAGCCTTTAGGCCCAGTAAACATTCATTTTGCTCAGAAAGCCTTTCATTCGTCTCCAGGACATTGAATGTTTAGGGATTTTACTCTGATTCTTAAACGTTATTTGTTCTATTTCCTTTCACTGATTCTAGAAATTGTGTGGCACAAACAGCGGGATAGCTGGCCTAAAGTAACTAAAACCAGTTTGCTCTTGAGGGAAATCTCGTCTTTCATCACTGAACAGCATACACCAGTGTAAATGATGGTACCAGCAGCACGGGAATCCAAAGCTATTTTCACAAGTCTAAACCTGGAAAGGTGTATTGGCCTTGTGACCACGCTGATTTTAAGAACCTTGAATCTCGTCAATCCCCCTACATACTGGGGAGCTGACTGATGCCTGATGGTCTGAGCTATCTGGGTGTAAAATCCACTCCTAGATTGCCTCAGCTAGGAACCAGGGGGTTGCCGATTGCAACTCGTGGGTAGTAAAGGGGCAGCAGATGCAGTAGCTGAACGTTTGGGGATCCTCTCTGGTAGTTCATAAGCCGCGCGGGTAAAAGCGTGATGGAAATCCCGGTCTCAGAATTCCATCTTTCAGGGATACAGGCCGCGCATCTCCGTCAGGGTCCGCAGAGGCGTGGCAAGAGCGGAGCTTCCAAGCAGCCCTAAGCTACACCTTCTCCAATCGCTAAGCACGAGAAAGGCCAAGGCGTGGGTGGGCCTAGAGGCGGGCCAGGGCGGGGAAGTAGGCGGAGCGTGGGTACGACTCCACCCGGCCCTCCTGGCTCTGAGCCTGCAGGATTGTGACGGGCGCAGCTCTAGTTCCCTTCCTCCTCTGCCTCCTTCGCCTCCTCCGCCACCTCTTCTCCCACGCCTTCGAGCAGGCCGCGGTTACCGGGGTAAGCGCTGCGGCTCCAGCGTCTCGGTATTCCTGCTCCTACAAGATGACGCTCAAGTCCAGCGAAGGCGAGGGTGGGAACAGCATGCGCACCGCGCTCTCGGACCTCTACCTGGAACACTTGCTACAGAAGCGCAACCGACCTGAGGTTAGCGGGACCCCTGGTGTCCTTGGGGTTTGGGTTGGGTCTTGGCTCCAGGCCTTTCCATCTACTCCTGAATTTGTCCTATCTGTGGCCTTGTTCCCAGGCGGTCTGACCCCGGACGGCCTGATCTTGAGTGCCCTATCCCCAGGGTGGAGGCCTTAGTTTTGGGCCGGGTTCATGCTGAGATCTGGGTGTGGTGGATAGTTGCCTGGGGCAACCCTTCTAGGTGCAAATCCCAAAAGGCCGGCCAGGACCAAATGCTTACTGAGGTCAAAGAAAACTTGCTCATGGATGGAACTCGAGTAACAGAAAGATTTTAAGAAGAAAAAATAAAAAAATTTAAGGAACACATCCAAGAGAAGATCTGCCTAGTTGTTGAGCATTTGTGTTCAGTTTCACAGACATTATGAAAGCCAACTTCGTGCTCTTAAAAAGCTCAGTGACCCCCTGCATATCATTTCAGCAGGTCCTCTTGTGCTACGTTGTAAATTAGGGTAGCCTTCATATTCCAGTGCTAAACAGTAGATACCATTAGCTATTATCTCCGGTGTCAGAGAGGCCCCCAGAGAGATTATGATTATATTTCATGTAGCATGTCATCCCCAAATTCAGTAGATTATAATGCTGAACCACCTACTTATCGTGCTTCCTCCACTCTCTAGTCCCTTTTGGGAGATTTATGTTTGTGATACAGCAAAGGTGACTTTGTAACAAGCAGGTACAGCTATTAAACAACATACATTACCTAAAATGTTCAAAGATAATACTAGGTGAAACTTAGAAAAATAAATCCAAAAAGCCTTGCAGGAATGGTACCTTGAGAAAAAAAAAACCTGTTATGTGTTTTGATCACTTTTTTATTAGATGAAGGGGAAAAAAGAAAGTGAAGAGTTGGTAAGAAAAAAATCCATGCTATGACCATTGTATTCTGGTTCCCCAATTCTGGAGCTTTGTTTCCTTTTCCTCACCTCTGGTGTCATTTCTCCTCTCCCAGATAGTTTGGAAGTATGGTTAATTTGATCTTGCCTTTATATGCTCGAGACCGACAGTCCTCTTTTACTAACCCTGACAGAGCAATTCATTGCTTAGGTGAAGAACCTATGCACCAATTAAATGTCAGCAAATATTATCTGTCTTGCTGGAAAGTAGGAAGATATTTTGCATTTTGTTTGTTGTTTTGAGACAAGGACTCACACTGTAGTTCAGGCTAGCTTGTAACTCACTATATTTACTAAATTGACTGGTCTTGAACTCCTGTCAATTCTCCTGCCTCAGCCTTCAGAGTGGTGTGCCAACAAGCCAGACTTCAGTACATTTTTATTGTCACAACTATATGGATTTAGTTTTTTATAGCAAGGAATTATCAGGCCCCCAAATATCATGACTGCTGAAGGAAATATCTGTCCCTTATGTTCTAGTTCAGGGTCTTATTTAAGGTGAGCAAATAAAGAGCAAAGAGCAGAACTTATGTGGTAAAACTCTAATCTACTTAGGCCTCTGTGACCACAATAAAACCAGATTGCTATCTGTAAAGTATCTAAGTCTTCCCAGTTTTGAAAATAAAGTCATAAATATCCTGGAAGTGAAGGACAGGGAAGGATGAAAAGTAACAGACCATACTAGGTATTGAGAAAGCTGGGGCAAAGACTAAATACTTTGAAAATGACATTTTATTTTCTAGTGTACATTTGAAAACACAGACCTTGAATGGAAATATCCCCTTCTAAAATGAGACCACCAGACCCAAAAAGGAGCTCTTTCTTTGGTAGAATGATAATTGGAAGCAGACTCACTGACCATGTTTCCTACTGACTTAGTAAAGACTTGCTTTCTGCTATTGTACATGGAATGTATGGCATGGAACTTTGGTGTCTTCTTCATAGGCTGTTCTATTTTGCCTGGAGTCCTGTTTGTCCCTTATATCCTGGATTCTACAAAATGCAGGTTTCAGCAATGCTGGACATTCTGCAGTGCTTCACAGCCCCCTCCCTACACCTCCTTCAGAGGAAACATCTGCAGCACAGTTCAAAGGGCAGAGACAGTTTCTCAAAGGAAGTTGAAATTTAAAAAAAAAGATAAAAATAGCTTGGCAGGGGTGGAGGCAGGGGTGGTGGGGGTGAGTAGAGCAGGGACAACTGTAGTTGACTTTCTCATTTAAAACTAATTGGCTTCAGAACGAGTGACAGTGAACTAGTGAGCATAGGAATGAACAAACATTTGTTCAGCCTACTGTTAGGCTCTCAACCAGCTGCTTCTGCATGGAGAACTTAAAATGCTCAGTCCAAGGAGATGAGTGAAGCTAAATACAGAAGAGCCTGGTAACTCCTTAACACTACCTGCCAGCCTTGTGTAGTCCCCTGGTTGGGACTGCCTGATGTCCACAAGTACCCAATCTTCACCTGGACATAACCTGTTTCACTTTGTGAGGGGAAATAAAACAACAACAAAAAACTAGAGAAGCCATGAAACCAACAATTCCCCAGTGAACTATAGAGATTAGAACTATTTAACCATAAATGATAAGAACTGGAGACAGAGGAAGGCCCAAGAATGAGGATTTTCTGGCAGGTATTGTCTTAAAAATCATACATTAACTAGAGCTTTGTTTCTCAGGCACTAAATGCATATATAAATCCAAAGGCCAGGTGTTTAAAGTTCCTTGGCTGATTTGCTTTATCTGCCCAGTGCACTCTGGACACATACACAGGCTTCTTCCACTAAAATAGAACAGGAAGTGCAAGCAGCATTCCACCTAGAACACCAGACTGTGTTTCCAAAAACGTGGCTCTTAGTTCCTGTGTTTCCAAAAACGTGGCTCTTAGTTCCTGCATAGCCATTAGACAAGTGTTGAGATTGTGTATGAAACATCATTTATTAAATTAAACCATTTATTCTTGTTTTTTATTATTTGTTGGTTTTTTTTAAAATATTGTCTTACTATGTAGCCTTAGTTGGCCTGGAACTCACTATGTAGACCTGGATGGCCCCAAACTCAAAAGAAACCTGCCTGACTCTGCCTCCAGGTGCTGGCATTAAAAGCATACTTTTAATCCTACCATGCTTGGTAGTTTTTGTCCTTGGTTCTGTTTTATTTTTTAAATATAGTCTCACTGTATAGTCTAGGCAGACTTCAAACTCTTGGCAGCCTTCCTTATCTCAGCCTCCTGAGAATTGAGATTACAAACCTGTACCACCAGGCCTAGCTGATTAAAATTATATTCTTGTCTCTACTTCTTGATCAATATTTGAAGGCAAAAACAATGTTTAGAAACCATTTGCAGTAAAACAATTCACAAGTCTTATACTCGAGGAGTTAGTTAAAATAGAAGCAGAGAATTCAAAGTTCAAGAAGACAACACAATACTAGGTCTTGTTTTTGTAGCCCATGATTGTTGAAAGCTCACTTTGTATTCCAGGTTGCCCTCAGACTTATCTATCTTCCTGCCCCAGCCTCCCATGTGCTAGGATTACAGGTATGTGCTATCATACCTAGTTTATAAATAAGACTTTATTGAAACTATATAATAAAAATTTGAAAATGGTTAGACTGATATTTCTTACTTTTTTGTCTTTCAAAATTAGTTTTGCTATTCATAAATAGGTCTATGCCCTTCCATCATGCTTACAATTTTTAAAAGTCCAAATTGCCTAGAGGTTCTTTGACTGTAACTTCAACAGACCAGGTGAGTGAAACCACTTATTTATAAGAAAAATAATACTCCAGGTATAGGATTATTGACCCCTGATACCAACCTCTGTTTCTAGGCAGAAGTGGAGAACAAGATATCTGGGTTATCTGAACTGAATTTCCTGGTTTTTTAAATTAAATAAGTCAAAGATATGTAGTTACAATAAAGAAATTTATATCTGGAAGATGATGGCTCACACCTTTAATCTCAGCACTTGAGAGGCAGAGGCAGGTGGATCCCTGTGAGTTCAAGGCCAGCCTGGTCTACAGAGCAGGTCCAGGACAGCCAGGGATGTTACACAGAGAAACCCTGTCTCTAAAACAAACAAACAAAAAAGAAAATTATACATTTTTGGTTAGCTGTCCAAGCAGTGCAGATACTACCTTTGATGCTCCCCTTTCTAAGGGGACAAGATTAGGTACTCTTCTCCATTTTTTAAAACTTCTCAGTTTCTATTACATATATATCTTAATTTGGCACATTGCTTGTATTTACAATATGTTCTTTTATAACTGTTTCAAGCTTTGTCTGTGGGTGGATTCTAAAATGTGAAAGTCCATAAGCGGTTTTTACCTTCTTGTAGTTGGTTGCTGAACTAATTTTCCAAATCCCTGATACTGTTTAAGATAGCAAGATGTCCAACCAAATTCTTACTTTTCCAGCATTTTTTGCAGCTTAAGATGGTTTTATGGTTGTGTTCTGCAATTTCCTTCTCCTCTATCTTGTAGCCAACCAATTTCCCCCTTCCTAGAAACAAATACTGTTCCTTCCAGAGATTATTTGTATGTTTCTAAGTAAATGTGAATACATTAATTTTCCACTGTGGTGAAGGTAGCATAATTGTCTCCAATTTTTTTTTATTTTCCATATAAACAGATAATTTCAAAATTATCTCAGAGCCTTCTTGTCATGGCTATATGGTTTCTTTCCACACAGTGACTATAGTGTCACTGAATTTTTTTGTTGTAGAGTATCTGGGATTTGTGTGAAGTTCTGTGTTGCCATGTGATTTTCAAATTACAACCTTTTCAACAATGTTACAACATAAATGCCATATGACAGTGTCATGTGAATTTTGGACATTTTAGCTGCAATACAAGGCAGTTTCTCTTTCTCAACACTTCCCTCATCTGAGATTACCCAGTAAATAACACTACTTCAGTTCTCATTGTCCTTTCAGTTAGAAAGAAAGCAGTAAGTTAAGATGAATTAGTTTTTGAAGAGCACACCTATGTTATAAGACATAACTTCTATACTTAAGTTTCTAGGCAAGACCTCCTTGTCTCTCATCTTTCCACCCTTTTCCTTTTCCTTTTGTGCCCATGGGCAAGCCACTGAACTCATCCCAGAAGTATATACATTCCCACACAAGACTTCAAAAAAAGAATGGCAAGATATACTTTTCACAGCTCTGCTTATTGAGAAGACCTTCCACATCTCCCCAGTGTCCTTGAGGGCTACCACTGAGTGTGGCTCTCCATTTTCAGCTTGTACCACTGGTTCATCCTCCTCTGACTTGCTATGTTGGTTTTTATTTAATATTTTATGCACAAACATTTGTAGGATAAGAAAGGCAAGATGCTTCAAATTACTCTTAAATAATTGAAACTTTAAATTTTCTGACATTAAAAAACAATGCTACAGCTGAGCGGTGGTGGCACATGCCTTTAATCCCAGCCCTTGGGAGACAGAGGCAGGTGGAGTTGGAGACCAGCCTGGTCTACAAGAGCTAGTCCCAGGACAACCTCCAAAGCAACAGAGAAACCCTGTTTCGAAGCCAACCCCCACCAAAAAAAAAAAAAAAACAATGCTACATGACCTATACAAATTTGAGCCCATCAGCATTTCTTTATGGATATATTAAACCCTCCCTGTGGGTCTATTGGCAGTTAATGATTGCTGAATAGATGGTGTAGTCAATTATAAGTTGCCCTTGCTCCAATTAATGGCCTCTCTTCTGTGTTTGTGCAAGTAACTGTAATGAAGCTCAGTGGAGAGGTACCCCAATATTATTTTCTCAGTTTATGTGCCTACCTGCAGGTACAAGAGTTCTAGTTCCAGACCTAATGACTTGCTCTTTTACTTTTTTAAGCTCAGTCTCTCTGTCTGTGTTGAATGTATACATGCATACAGTTATGTGCAACCATGCACTACCACAGGGGCCAAGTGTCCTGTTATATCACTTTTTATCTTACTTTCTTGAGACAGGGTCTTTAACTGAACCTAGAGCTATACTGGTGGCAAGTAAGCCTACTGGTCCTCTTGCCTTTACCCCAGACAGTGCTGGGATTATAGATGACCATGCTTTTTATGTGGATGTTGAGAATTTAAACTCAGGTATTCATGCTTGGACAGTAAACACTTTACCTACTGAGCCATCTCCCCAGCTCCCTTTTCACTCTCACACTCTTTTAAAATAATTATTTATAGTTTATGAGTGTTTTTACCTGTGCATAAGTATGTGCCCTTTGTGCCTGATGCCCATAGAGGCCAGAAGAGGGCATCAAATGCTCTAGAACTGGAGTTACAGGTGGTTGTGAGCCACTATGTGGGTGATGGGAACCAAACCCAGGTCCTCTGCAAGAGCAACAAGTTTTTTTTTTAACCACTGAGAAATCTCTCCAGTCCCCCTTTTACTCTCTTAATGCAATTCTTCACCAATATTATTTGGAAAATTCAAACTTACTAAAAAGATGAAAAAAGTTCTCATTCTGACTTCTATAATTGACATACTGCTTTACTTGCCTTAAACACATATATCTACCTGAAACCATTCCATCTGTCCACTTTTTTGCATTTGGAAGCAAGGTGCGGATGTCAGAGTACTTTACCCCAAAAAGCTTCAATGTGTATATCACTGCATAGAACTCAGTATTTGTTTATGGTTACTTATTTTGGTTTTTTAAGAAATGGTTTCTCTGTATAACAGCCCTGGCTGTCCTAGAACTCTCTTTGTAGACCAGACTGGACTTGAACTCACAGAGATCCACCTGCCTCTGCTTCCCAAGTGCTGTGATTAAAGGTGTGCAGCACTACTGCCCCGCTTGATTATGGTTACTTTTTAAGGTAAATTTTAAATACAGTAAAATAAAAAAATCTTGAATGTGCTATTTTATACTATATCATGGGATAGAATATTACTAACATTCCAATTTCTCTCATGCCAGTCCTTTCCCCTCAAGACAGCTACTGTTTTAGTTATTTACAACAGTTTTGTTTGTTCTAAAATCTTTAATAAATTTTATCATGTTGTACATATTTTAATAGGACTTCCTTTATTCAACAGGTTTCTGAGTTCATCCTTTTTATTTTATAGTTTGAGCTCTTGTATACATGGACAACTGGCTTGTGTATTTTCCTGTGTGAACATTTGTGTTATTTCCTTTTGGGTGGACTTGGGAAAACAAACATGCTATGTACATCTGCATAAGTTTCTATGCGGACAGATGTTTTTTTGTTTGTTTGTTTTGTTTTGTTTTTATCTTGGATGAACCCCTAAGAGTAGGATTGTTGAACCATAGAATAACTGGGTGTTTATGTTTGCCTTTTGCAGTTTCTGTACTATTTTATATTTTAACAGACAGTTCTAAGCTGCCATGAGGGTATTGAGATTTGAACTCAAGTTCTCACAAAGAGCAGCTGATACTCTTTATTTTTTTATTACTTTCTTTATATACAAAAACAAAGGCCCAAAATACGGTTTGTTGAAGTAGCTATCAACAGGATATCAGCTGATCTCAGGTTTGCTTTGGTCAACACAGCATGGGAACAGCAGCCGGCCCCTTCCTTACAGCACAGAAACACACTGACAGGACTGCCTCCAATACAGAACAAAGAGCTCTCAGGGAAAATCAATTTTAAACCAAAACATTTTGCCAATAAATAAGAAAATTTGAAAGGTAGCATCCCCACCCGACAATCTTGGGCATAACATGTACACCAATTCTAAAAATAAAAATTTTCTCACAATAGTAGTAACAGGTGATAATGCAGCAAGCCATGTAATGAAATCATTTTAATTTTATTTTTTAAAAGAAAATCTTAAGAACCAAACATAAACTTTAAAGTTGGCACTTTCTACAACTGTACATATCCTACAATCATCTAGTACTCCCTCATAGAACATAATTCAAACTCTGCTGGTGTTTCAATACACTCCTAAGGAAATAGATAAAAGCACATTTACTATGCCGGATCTGAAACAAAGTTCATAATTCTGATTTATGGCTACGAAAAGGCAGTCAGCTTCTACTGAAAACTGCAGCCAGTAATAAAACACACTTGGAAAACAAACATTTGGTCTGACGATCTTCAATACTGGTTAAGACAGTCTGATGTTTGTTGCCAATGAAAGGTGCTTTAATCCAATGTGCAAAAAATAAAAATAAAAAAGTGCAGCTGTCCTTTTCCTTGAAACACATAGGACCAACACATCTATTTACACATTTGAAAGATTTTAAATTTATTTCCAGCTGTTACTCTTAACCACTGAGCTTTCTAGTTCCTCAGAATATTTTTAATAAAAATCATTCCTTTATCTGCAATGACCTGATGAAATGTGTTACAAATAGTTTCACATGGATTCAAATGAGAGTAGATGTCAGCCTTTATGAAATAATTGTTTTTTTAAAGCCTTTTAGATTCTAACTATAGAAACGGACTAACCATGGGCCTTTGCTGTTTATTTTATACACTAATCTGTTTTCATTTGACAGACTACATTGAACCAGTTGAATGTTGCCACTGAAGACATGTATACCAATGGGTCTACTGCTCCAGGTAGCCCTGCCCATACTAAAGGGCAAGAGGCAAGGAAAGTGCGTCTCATACAGTTTGAGAAGATCACAGAGGAGCCCATGGTAATCTCTTGTCCTATTGTCATGTATCATTTACATTCTACTAGTAAAGTCATTGGGCCTTAAAACTGCCAAAGGTTACTTATGGAATTGTACAGACTGCCAGATTCTCTCTTGTGTTTCTTTGTCCCCATCTCAAGCTTCTTTCAAAGCAAGCTTCCTGCCTTTTCTACTTGAGAGCTGCCCCTGATATAAATTGAAATGGCTTTCCCTGCAATTCTTCCTTAAGATGCTTTAAAGATATCCTCAGAGAGGGCTTAAAACAAAACTTACTGTTCTGTTGCCTTTATTCCAGGGAATTACTTTGAAGCTCAATGAAAAACAGTCATGTACTGTGGCCAGAATTCTCCATGGTGGCATGATTCATAGACAAGGTACTCTGGCAGGGAGGAGGGTCCTAAGTCTACTTTTTCCTGTGATTAATTATTTACTCTCTGTTCAGTGGTGTGGGACATTAAGTTTATAGACCTCAAAACTGATAGCATTTTCATGAGACTACTAAGAGATTCTTTGACTTAATAACTGACTCTTTAAGGTGTCCATTGTGTGTGTCTAAGGTGGTGGTGGTGTCATACACCTTTAATCCCAGCACTCAGGAGGCAGAGGCAGGCTTGTCTCTGAGTTCAAGACCAGCTTGGTCTACAAAGCAAGTTCCAGGACAGCCAGTACTACACAAAGAAAAAAAACCTGAGTCTTTAGAAACTTTATGGTGAGATCTTAGTGTGAACTAATTCAGTACCACCATATTTCCCTCTGAACCTTTTTTTTCTTTTGGTTTTTCAAGACAGGGTCTTATTATGTAGCCCTGGCTGTCCTGGAACTCACTCTGTAGACCAGGCTGGCCTCAAACTCAGTAATCCACCTGCCTCTGCCTCCCAAATGCTAGGATTAAAGGTGTGCACAACCACTGCCCAGCCCTCTACACCTTTTTTTGATTTTTTGAGACAGGGTTTCTCTGTATAATAGCCCTAGCTGTCCTGAAACTCTCTGTAGACCAGGCTGGCCTCGAACTCACAGAGATCCACCTGTCTCTGCCTCCTGAGTGCTGGGATTAAAGGCATGTGGCACCACCAGGCTTTTTTGGGGGGGTTACTATGTTTTTTTAATCCAAGGTAACATGACATGAATTTGATAACCAACCATCATATAGGATTTTAATCTTGACTAACCATTTAAGAACTCATTGGAGGTTTAGTTTAACAATAACAAAGAAACATTGAACTCACTGGATAATTGTCTCCTGGGTTGGCAGCTGTTCTAATTCCAGGAATTCAAGGATGAGATGCTTTTATGAAGCTCTTGGATGACTGATATCAAGAAGAATGTGGCAGTATTGAACTGTCCTAGATGGATCCAGAACCATATTTTTTAATCTCTCTTAGTTAAATATTTCTAATAACTGAGTTTATTTTATAAAATGCCCTAGATTGTGGTTTATTTTGTGTGGTATTCTTGAGCTACACTGACAGCTCTTGTTTGAATTTTTATTCTTTTGTGCATTGATGTTTTTTGTTTGTTTGTTTAATGGCAGGCTCCCTTCACGTGGGGGATGAGATTCTAGAAATCAATGGCACAAATGTAACCAATCACTCAGTAGACCAGCTTCAGAAGGCAATGGTGGGTATTTTTTGTACTAGATAATGATTGTCTTCTATGTTCATGAAGGGTTAATAAGCACTGGTGTCACTATATTTCTCTGCAAAGGCATGGTTACCTTATTGAAAGGACTGTTATCACTTCTGATCTTCCAATATTCTGTCCAAAAAGTGATATTTCTCTGCTTTAATTTAGTAAGCCTGCAAAACAAGGCCAATAACTGAGAGCATCAATCTCATAAAATGACAAGAATATTGTGCTGGGCATCTAGAGATTGTGGTGTGTATTGATATTTCTGGATCCCTACTTTACTTTAGTCTTGCTCAATGACTTTGAGCAAGTTGATTGGCTTCATTCAGTCTGTATTTTCAGAATCTATTATGTGCAGCATTGTGGTTAATGTTTGTGATGCCTCACCTGTTTGCCCTTCCTGACTCTTTGCCATCTTTCTTGACTCTGTCTTGTGCCTCGATGGGCTGATTTTAATGTCTTTATCAGTTGGACCTCAGTGGTTTCAGCAAGCAGTTAGAAAAGACATTTATGTTCCTATTCTTACTCGCCAAACCTGCTTCTGTAGATACCACTTTCACACAGATGTGGGCATCATCAAAATATACAGCAAGAGAGAGAGTTCTTCCTAAGGATATGCACACCTATGTGAATACATTCTTCATGAAACTCTTCAAGCTCCCTTTTTGAATGTGCTACCTAATTATTACTGGATTTACCAGTATTATCATAGTTAATACCAAGAGTGATGTCAGAAAATTGGCCCTTTAAGTGGGCCTCTGACATTGGGCTGCTTGTAAATGAGCATATGCTTAGAAGACAGTATACTACAAAAGAGCTAATCATTCTAGAGAAATCTAATTTTTATTAGAAAAATATAACCTATGAAATCAGGCAAAAGAAACAAAAAACTGCTGACCAACAATTTTTTGAAAATATGCTTAATTACTACTGCACAATTTATCCTAGTCAGGCTATGGAATCAGTGGTCCAATGCATTAGAAATATATGGTATATACATGCTATGGAATACTGTTCTGTCTTATACAAGAAGGAATTTTCCATTATTTGTTACAACATGGGTATACCAAGAGAACATTATAATTATATAAATAAGTCAGACACAGAAAGAGACATCACATAAACTAATATATATGTGGAATCCAGAAAGGCAACCTGTATGGGCTGGGGATGGTAGGGATCATAGAGAGATGTTGGTCAGAGGCTATAAAATTCCACATAAATAAGATGAATAAATTTTAAAACTCTGTGGTATAGCATGGTTACTACAGTAACGGTGAATTATATTCTTTTTTTTAATTCTTTTTTTTTAATTTAGATAAGAAACAAGGTTGCTTCACAAGTCAGTTCCAGGTCCCTCTCCCTTTCCCTCCCCTCCTCCCGTGCCCTCCCCCCATCCCCCCCCCGTTATCCCCTCATTCCCCCAGGGAGGGTGAGGCCCTCCATGGGGGTGTCCATAGTCTGTCATTTCATATAGGGCAGGGCCTAGACCCTTCCCCAAGAGTTCAGGGTGAGAGTGCACCTCACATTGTTCTATGGGAGTCCAAAGTCCGTGTGTATACTTGGGATGGGTACTGATCTGCTGCCCAAGGCTCAATAGATTACCTAGGCCTCCTCACTGACACCCAGATTCAGGGGGTCTTGATCAGTCCCATGCTGGATTCCCAGGCTGATGCCTGGGGTGAATTATATTCTTAAAAATACTGAGAGTAGATATAAAGTGTTCTTGCAACAAAAATAAGTAGTGAGGTAATACATATGTTAACGGTTTGGCCATTATACAATAAATACATAATTTGAAAACATTTGTGTATGATAATTATGTGTATTTTTATTGTTCAAATTGCAAGAAAAAGAGAGGATGATCACCTGTAGTTATGGTGACAAAATTTCAAAATAAATCATTGAGCTGGGTGCAATAGCTTATGCCTGTAATAACAGCTCTTAAGAGGCCAAGGCAGGCCAGGCAGTGGTGGTGCACGCCTTTAATCCCAGCACTTGGGAAGCAGAGACAGGTGGATCTATGTGAGTTCGAGGCCAGCCTGGTCTACAAGAGGTAGTTCCAGGACAGCCTCCAAAGCTACACAGAGAAACCCTGTCTCAGAAAAAAAAAAAGAAAAAGAAAACCCTGATTTTATAGAATCAAGTTAGTTTTCTTTACAGTCTCATTTTTTCTTTTTTTAATAGAAGGAAACCAAAGGAATGATCTCATTAAAAGTAATTCCTAATCAGCAGAGTCGTCTTCCTGCACTACAGGTATGTAATGTCATTTTCTCTGTTATGTTGTTTTGTGTTCTTTGAGATTTTATTAAAAGTGACACAATTCTATAATGTTAACTTCTGAGTTTCTCACAGGTGTTTAGCTACTTGGTATAAGATCCTATTATCTACTCTCTCAACTAAAAAAAAGAGCCCATCTCCTTGTCTTTTCTCTCTTGTTTCTGTGTGCTTGTTCATGTGTGTTCAGTGCACATGTGTAGAGAGCACACATGTGAGTGTTAATCCTCGGATGTCATTCATCTTTGTGTGTGTGTAGGAGGTGTTCTCAGAAGTGTGTATGTGTGTGAGTGTGGAGGCCAGAGGTTGATATTAAATGTCCTTTCTCTATCTCACTTCATCTTCATTCTTTTTTGAGGCAGTGTTTCTCAGGGAACCCAAAATCACTGATTTGGCTAGAATGGTTGGCCAATGATCTTCAGGGATTCACTTGTCTCTTCTTCCTAACCCTCTTCCCCTAGCACTGGAATTACAGGGAACAAATCATGTGCCTAGTTTTTTTGAGTAAATTCTGGGGGTATGAACTCAGGTTCTCATGATTGTCTGGTAGGTAGTTTATCAACTGAAATATCTCACCAGTCTCCATTTTTTTTTTAGACAAAGTTCCGCCCCAACCCACCCTAGTCTGATTCTCATCAATTAGGTTAGGTTAGCTGGCTAGTGAGCCTCAGGGACCCTTCTGTTGTCTCTGCCTTCCCAGCTCTGACTTTATAAGCTTATGCCACTAGGCTCAAAGTTTTAATGTGAGTTCTGAGGATCAAAATTCTCAAAACCTTGGAAGACAAGCATTTTACCGAGTCAACTGATTAGTCTCCTCAGTACTTCATTACTTTTTTTTTTAGAAAGAAAACAGTGATGGAGGTGATAGGAACAGGTTATTAGTAGCCAAAGAATAGATGGGACATGACCTTGGAAAATGAATGTGTAAAATTTTTAAAATACCAAACCTCAGGCTGGAGAGATGGCAGAGTACCTGAGTTTGGTTCACAGTACCCACATAAGCTACCTCACAGTGGTCTATAACTCTAGCTCTAGGGGATCTGATCTTCTGGCCTCCACAGGCAACTGAACATACATACACATTAGTAAAAACAGAAATAAAAATAAATATTAAATTATCAAACCTGAAATTTCATATAGATTACCTATAGTATGATAGTATAGTCTTAAACTTTTAAATTAAAAATTTGCTATTTGTGTATATACATATAACAAAGTGAATAGATCACAAGTATAAAACTGGTTTTATATTCATAAACTGAGCATATTTTTATAAACAGTACCCAATTCAAAAGACAGAATATGTTCAGCATCTATGACTGCTCATCACATTTCTTCCAGGCTCACCACAACCCTGACTTGTGTAACATAAAAGAAGAGTTTTGCCTCATTTTTCAATTTATATAAATTGAACTTTATAATAGGAATTCTTTTGAATGTCATTGCTTTTATTCAGTATTATATTTAAATGAGTCATCTGAAGGCATTGGTGTAATGATTTTATTAGACCCAAGATAAACAATAAATGGGTGTTTATTGGGGAATACTACCCAGAATAATATAAAGAACCATGGGGGTGCTTCTCTGCCCTTCCTACTGGATTGGCTGACCCAAGCGAAAGGACAGCACAAACAGAAGCCATGCCTCAGACTTCCCTCTTTCCGCTTCTGTCCACCTGAAGCCATGCCTGAAGAGGTGTGGCCACTATTACAAGTTCACATGCAAGACGCTGCTACAATTCCCCTTTTAGTCTAAATAAGAAGGTTTTTTTTTTTTTTGGTTTTTTGAGACAGGGTTTCTCTGTGGCTTTTGGAGGCTGTCCTGGAACTCGCTTGGTAGTCCAGGCTGGTCTCAAACTCACAGAGATCCGCCTGCCTCTGCCTCCCGAGTGCTGGGATTAAAGGCGTGCGCCACCAACGCCCGGCTTAAATAAGAAGGTTTTAAGCCTGATGTTAAAACTATATACAATGATAACAAATGTCAAGTATATTCCAGGAAAAGGAAAGGTAACAAAATACACTAACTAAAACCTACTACCGGCAAGAGCAACATTAAGCAATAGATATATACTACATGTCCAGTATCAGGGTAAAGACATGACAGAGATTACTGCCATAGCAGTTCTAATCTGGAAAGTCTAAATCTTGTCTATCTGAGATAAGAGAGGATATTACTATGACTGTCTAGTCTTCAACATCATCAAAGACCTGAGAAGGAAAATAACAATACTAGAGTAGACAGAAAGTGCCAGTGTGCGACTTCCTAAAGGTGCAGTGAAGACAGAAACAACAGACTACCTGGACAGCCACCCAAGGTCTCACAGCAATGTCAGGGCAACCAACATTGGCTAAGGCCTAATGTATCAGACAGACCATTTCAGAGCAAGGAAATTGAAAAACTGTCTTACCCTGACTTGGCAAGGTTAAGCATTCTTCTTTAAGTTTATCTCCTGCAGGCCCAGTTAGGACAGCATGTGGTCGAGGTGGGAGTAGTTCTTTGCCCAAGAGGCCAGCAGCCGAGGAGAGAATGAACTCCAGATGGAGTGTCATCAGTGCCCAACAAACTCTCAGGAATAGCTCGGTACTGTCAGGAGCAATTGTGTCTCATGTCAGTGGAATACTAATATTAAAACATCTAAATGCCATATTCTATAGGTCTTTGAAGTGTTTGAAGATCAAATATCTATGTCTGACTAACTTCATAGGTATAAGAAGCATGAGTAACTGTAATTTTCAGAAACATAATTTCTCAATGGCTGAAGCCTTCTAAAATAATTTGGCAAGGACAATGACTTAAAAAATGTAACTATATACATGTGTGTACACACACACACACACACACACACACACACATACATACAGCAGAGGTAGAACTGAAATGACACACATACATACAGCAGAGGTAGAACTGAAATGTCTTGACTAGAGGTAGAACTGTGAAGTGCAACATGATAAAATAGCCTAAATTGTATCGATATACAAAATACATGCATAAAGACATATTTGTGTGCAAAGCATCATAAACAGAAAGAAGACCCTACACAGTCAACATACAAAAATCTAACAAGTTTTCTATAGCTAATAATTGCTAAAATTAGTTCACAAGGATATGTTAATCTACCTATATCCCATCCTAACCATACCCTTCTCATCCATACCGTTAAACTTTTCTAAAAGAGATACCCAAGTCTGGCCATCACCTTCCATACCCAACTATACACACCTTAAAACCAATCATAAGCAGATGATAATTATACCTTTTTAATGACAAGAGAATAAAAAACCAAAATACCCTTAGCAGTAGGGAAAGGGGTCGTTGTTTTTCTTAGTTACTTCCTGCTGAAATGGGCCAACAGTGACTCTATGGGATCCTGTAGGAAAAAAATAAAGCAACAGAAAGTTTAGAGAGGACTAGCTGTAACATTTGTAGCTAGTCTCTGAGTGGCAGGAGATGCTTGACTGAAGTTCTTTTCTGAAACTCTGGCCAGAGTGTTATAAGAAGGTGCATCATCTCAGCTAGCTAGTCTGGATTTGTCTAGCCTAGTCTAGTTTAGGTTAGTCCTAAACCTGTCTGAGTGAGTGGTGTTTACTAGTTCAAAGACATCAAGTGGAATCAATGAAGTGAGGCCCATCTTCTTTGCAGAGATTTCAGTGATTGTTGTTAGGAAATTTTATTGTTCATTGTGAAAGACTTAAACATTAATATCAACACAGAAAGTTTAACTTTTATAGGTATGCATACTAGGAAAGGTAACAATAAAGATGAAAATAAGTATGAGCGAAATTAGGATTTTAGAGAGAGAACAGTGTTTTGATAAATAATAGTCCCTAGATTTTGTTTTCTTCTGTCTTACAGCAATTGGCTTTTTTTGATATGAGACAGAAACTCTGAATTTTACTTTAACAACATGCTTGAATTTAGAGAAGGAAAGCCAAATCCAATTCTAAAGCCAGTATTGGTTTTACATGAATTGGGACTACCAGAGTACTAAGAAGTAAGAAGATAAAGATTTTTATATATAAATATTTTACTAAGAGTAGATATTGGCAAATTCTTTGATTATTCTTTCGGGATAGCTATCCTTTCTTCTTTAGGCATCTACATGCCCAATATATTTTGGTTTCTTGAAGATGAGTGTTTTCTATTTTCCTGTAAAGACAAGGACAGAACACTCCCCCTACCTTTGTGAGGTCTCCATACAACTTGTAGGATATACCTTGGTAGATAACCTATTATTTTTCTCCTGTTCAAATCAGATCTTGATCAACTTTGATGGTATCCAAAACTTTTCTTCTCCCGTAGAAACAAGGTGAAACTCCTACCCCAATGTAACACGTATCCTGGTTTCCATACTGAGGTCAATACATCCTTGAAGTACACCAGCTGATTTAGCTCAAAAGTTTTTTCTATTGTCTGTACCTCTTACTCCTCTTGCATCCTACATGGTGACTAACTGTGCCTCTGTTTCCCAGAATCCTCCACTTCTAGTTCCACCTATCTTGTTTCCCTGTTGGCCAACAGTATTTATCAACCAACAAGACAAATATATACACAGAAGGACTTCCTCTATCACCTCCACTTTTCTGTCTAAATAAAAAGAAAGGTTTTAACTTTAACATAGTTAAATTATATATAACAGAACAGTTATCAAGTAAAAACTATAGTTACAATATTTAGCCCATTAACCTTTAGTAAGATTTAAAGAAAGTATTTTATCATCTATCTTATCTGTGTGAGTCTAAAGTCTTATATATAACTTATCTTTTATCATAACTAAGGAAAACTATAATTATAACTATCTGTCTCCAACTCTATCAAAGACCACAGAAAGATAATATATAAACACTAGGATTGACAGAGACATTTTGCTACCTGGACAGTTACCCGAAGTTCCACTGTAATGTGGGGCATTCATCTTCAGTCCATAGGCCACAGTGTGCCTAAACAGGAGGAGAAATATACATATAACAAAATTGATCTCAAATTTGTATCAATAAATGAAAATCCATTCCAAGACAAAGTATTCTTTTCTATACCATAATCTCCCTTACCTTTAAAAAGAGATTGGTTATGATTATTAACCATTTATAACCAACCTCATTTAAATGAAAATATAAATTTATAGACAATATTTGGGAATTTAGGTATCGTTCATTCCAAACTGCTTCCTGCTGGTTGGGAGCGCTGTCCATACCATAGGGATCAAGACAAAACACAGAAACCTGGCCAGGTCCTTGCTTTTTGTGGTCTGCAAGGCTGCATTATCTCAGCTGTTTTAGATGTTGGATCACCTGGAACACCATGTCAGGGGGTCTTATTTCATCAAACCATAGAAGTCTGGAAGGAATCCATAGCTTTACATTTCATACGGAAACACAAGCAAAAACTCTTCCCAATTAACCTGTCCTTATATTTAAATTTAGAAGTCAAAGCATTTTTAAAATATATAAGTTGGATTAATTTTGCAGCATTTATAATCAAGTGCATTTTAGCAGTTGTTGTTACTTCCTTAGCAATTGAACAACTAAAAGACAACACAATAGTGTACAGTATTCAGACTCTGTGTATTTTCTATCATCATGTGGCTTTTTTATTACTCTATATCTTTTAATTTTACTTTTTACTTTTTTGAGACAGGGTTTCTCTGTGTACTTTGGCTGCCTGTGAACTCCATCTTTACACCAGGCAGGTCTTGAACTCAGAGAAACCACTTGCTGAAATTTAAGGAGTGGGCCACTACATCTGGTTTTTTCACTAGTAAATTGTAACCTTTGTTGTTTTGTTTTGTATTTTTGGTTTTTCAAGACAGGGTTTCTCTGTAGCTTTGGAGCCTTTCCTGGAACTCACTCTGTAGAGCAGGCTGGCCTCAAACTCAGAAAGATCTGCCTGCCTCTGCCTCCAGAGTGCTGGGATTAAAGGCGTGCACCACCACTGTCCAGCAACCTTTGCTTTCTTTAGTTCATCTTTTCAAAGAACTGTTTGTCCCTTTTTGGTTTTCTCAATAGTATATTCTATTTAAATTCTTTCTGCTCCTTATTATTTTTCCTCATTTGTTTGAGCTATATTTATGCTCCTTAATACTATTACCATAGATAACCAGTGTCCAAGTTTGCTTTCTGTTGCTGTTATAAAATATTCGCACTTAAAGCAACTTGGGAGGAAAGGATTTATTTCAGCTTATAATTCCAGATTACAATGTATCCTTGAGGGAAGCTAGAGTAGAAACTCAAAGCAGGAATCTGAGGCTGGAACATGGAGGAATGCCATTTCCTGTCTTGTTTGTTCTCTGCTAGCTTTCTTATGCAACCCTCTTTCCTAGTGATGATGCTGCCCATAGTGGGCTGGGGCCTCCCATATCCATCATTATTCAAAACAATTTATAACAGACATGGCCACAGGCCCCACTCTGAAGCTATTCTTCAATTGAGGTTCCCTCTTCCCAGATAACTCTAGGTTGTGTCAAGTTGATAAAAACTAACCAAGAAAATCAATATTAAATTCTAGTATAATTTTTTCTGGTCATTTTTAAAAATTTTGACCATTCTAGGTATTATTTTGTTTAATAATGTTCTTATTTCATATGTCAGCAGGATTGCCAAGGACATTAGTTGGTTTTTTTGTGTTACAAAATATATAATATACTGGTAATATACTCAGCAGATGTTTAGCTATTTATCATGGATAAATAAGAATGTCTTGCCAGGCAGTGGTGGCACACACCTTTAATCCCATCACTCAGCTGACTGGCAATCTCTGAGTTCAAAGCCAGCCTGGTCTACAGAGCCAGTGTCAGGACAGGCTCCAAAGCTACACAGAGAAACCCTGTCTCGGAATAAAAAAAAAAAAAGAACATCTTAGGAAATTAAATTGTTTCCAATACTTCATTCTTATAAATAATGCTTTGATACACATGCTTATCCACATAATCATTACTAGCAGCTCTTTTATATAAGATAAATGCATAGGAATCAAGGTGGGGCAAAGAATGTCAACATTTGAAGATGATGGACACATTTATAGACTGTCCTCTAGAGAAAGGTTTATCAACTTTTCCATATTCGTGAGAGTATCTTGTCAAGGAAGCAGATCCATTTCAGATGGATGGTAGCAGCTCTATGCTCTGAGGTGGACAACTCAGATTCAATAGCTGGAAACATGTTGAACCAGAAAGGCATTTCACGGAAATACCTTCTTATTAAAAGGATCAGTTTTGATTCTCCTGCAAACACAACAGTAAGTAGTTAGAAACACTTGAACATTCCAGCTGCACATGTTTGGGTGCTCCCTTATCATTCTTTCCTCACTCTTGCTCATTTCCCATTTCCTTACAGCAGGACATGCTCTAGCACCAATGTTTTCCCTGAGGTCCTCTTTTCTTTCTTTTACAGATGTTCATGAGAGCACAGTTTGACTATGATCCCAAAAAGGATAATCTTATCCCTTGCAAAGAGGCAGGACTGAAGTTTGTTACTGGAGACATTATCCAGATCATCAACAAAGATGACAGCAATTGGTGGCAGGGGCGGGTGGAAGGCTCCTCCAAGGAGTCTGCAGGATTGATCCCTTCTCCTGAGCTGCAGGAATGGTAAGCCACATTTGTGCTGGTGGAAAACCCCTGCTGTAACTAATTTTACTTAGCTTCAGATATCTGCTGTTTTGTGCATATTTTCCATATTTCCAAAACATATGTCCTAGTTTCCTTTATATAATGGATAAGGAAGGATCCACAGGAGTTGATACAGTTCATTTTAAGGCCTGTTTCCTCAAATGCTCTCTCACCAGTTACAGGGCTTAGTTACAGAGCCCTCCCCCTGCTTTCTGCACCCCTTCACACACTCATTACTGATTTTAAGAAAGCTTCTAGAGCTGGAGAGATGGCTTAGTGGTTAAAAACCCTGGGTGGTCTTACAGAGGTCCTGAGTTCAATTCCCAGCAACTGCAGAGTGGCTCACAGCTCTGTAGTGACATCTGGTGCCCTCTTCTGGCCTGCAGGGTTGCGTGTAGGCAGAACACTGTATACATAATAAATTCTTTATACATAATAAATAAAAATAAATCCGCCTGTGGAAAATAACATCCCAACCTCAAATAGTGTTAGTTCCTATACCATACATAATTATTTCTTTTTTGAGATTATAATATAATTATGTCATTTCTCCCTTCCATTTCTTCCCTTAAAACTCACATATATCCCTCTTTATAATCTTTGAAATCATGCCCTCTTTTATCACTAAGTGTTGATACATTCATACATACATTCCTAAATACATGAGTGCAATCTGCTCAGTTGTCTATCCAATCCCAAATGGTCAGCCCTGAAAACATACATATAAACCTTTAGTTTTAAGCCAGAGTTCTGGTTGATCCCATTTCCGATGATGATAAATAGCACAAAAAACACAACATTTTTTGTGGAAGTCAGTGTTTAACATTAGAGCAACAGAGGAAAAATACAGTGCAGACCTTGAAGATATTGGTCAAAACCTTGTGCATACTGTCTGTGTCTTAAGGGCCATTTCCAGAGCTAACACCTGGTGAAGAGCATTGGAAGATCAGGAAAGGTAGATAGCTGAGAAAGACTCAGGAGAGCACGAGGTGAAACTGTGGCTCATGACTTATTAATGAGGCATGAATCAATTTAGTAGACTGTAACAACTATTTTTGTAAAGTGAGGGTCAGGTATCATACCTCAGGCCTGTAATTCAGAGGATTCAGAAGGCTGAGGAAGGTTCAATGCCACCTGGGCTACATAGACCCTGTCTCAAAACAAAAGATGATGCATATAAACATCAGCATAGATTACACAGTAGTAGATGGTATTGTTACTATTTTAGTCATGTATGCAGTTATATGTTCATACCTGTGCTTTATTTATAGATTAGGGTTGTTGATAATGAGTGTCAGCTCGATTTTCCAGGTCTCAACTCAAAAGTGGAAGAATAGTCCACTAGTGCACTAAGAATAGTGCACTAAGGGGAGGAAATTATTGTTTCCTCCTGGAAACATTTCCAATGACAGGTACCTGGGTAACCACATATAACTGCAGAAAAGAAAGGAAGGGAAGTGGGTGAGGGTATCTCTGCCTGAAGAATATTACAGAGTCAAGGAAGTATGTCAGTCTCAAAACTTACTATAGAAAAGAAAGGCGGTAAGCCTAGTCTGTCACAGGTTTCTACACTGAAGAACTACTGAGCTTTGGTCATCTGTTGTTCCTCACAGGAGAGTGGCAAGTGTGGCTCAGTCTGCTCCAAGTGAAGCTCCAAGCTGTAGTCCCTTTGGGAAAAAGAAGAAGTATAAAGACAAGTATCTGGCTAAGCACAGTTCAAGTAAGTTTTCTGTGTCCCCTTCCTCCAAGGTCCCATTAGCATTAGTGTTTCTCTACCTCTTTAACAATAACGAAAGAGGTGAGGATGCAGTATGTAGTGGAATGTATAGTGTATAAAAAAAGTATGCCATTTCTTTTGATTTTCCCTTCCTCATTTCATCTTCATAAACTCACTGAAATCAAAGAGACAAGGCTAGTGGTCTGTCTACTCCTACTCATCATCTCACTCCTCAGATAACCAAATGAACAAGTATTCCAGACTTTTTCCATAGTTATCTTTATTCTGTTTATCACCAACTTCAGTATCTATGAAGGAATGGTTTCAGTACCCCATGGTTATCAACATTTCCTTTGCTCAACACTCTCAAATATAATGGTGTAGAATTTGTATAGGACTTATGTATATCCTCCTGTGCATTTTTAAGCCATCTTGATAGGTAGGCTGGGTGTGATAGGCATACACCTTTAATCTCAGTACTAAGAAGGCAGAGGCAGGCATACCTCTGAGTTCATGTCCAATCTGACCTACTTAGGCAAGAGAGAACTACATAGTGAGACCCTGACTCAAAAGAAAATTTTGATTTTCTAATATAGTGTAATATTGTTTAGGGAATAATGATAAGAAAAAGTCTGTACATGCTCAATGTAGAAGTAAAATTTTTCAAATATTTCAATTTGTGATTTATTGAATCTGAGAAAACAGGACTCATGAATATGGAAGGCTGAATATGTATTTTCAGTATCACAAGTGAGTTCAAGTGTGTTGCTGACAATAAATGAATACTCATCTGCCATTTATTCAATGTTTCCATCTTGTTGGGAGCATTCGATACAATGACAAGTGCATGAACAAATCAAAGTACCTGAAGTCACCATGGCCCGGGCATCTTTGAAGGAGCAGGCGAGTGTTTGCCTAAGACTCCCTTTTCCATCTTGAGTGGTTGGGGCATTATTGGTTCTGTTCCCTAAAATAAGGGATGTTTGAAGATAATGGTACTGATATTATTAAACTGTAAGTGCCTATGAGACAGCCAAGTTCCATGTTCTAGAAAGCTGGAATCTGTATTGAAGATAGAGAGAACCATTATATTACTAAGACTGCAACAGACTGAAAAAGGTCAGGTCAGAGGGATAGAGAGGAAAGCATAGAGTTAAATCAGAATCCTAAAGACTGGCCTACAGAGCCATGTGAAGCATTCAGATGGAGGATACTGGGAAAATCAAACCAAGGACTAAATGGAGCATGTGCATCTGTAATACAGAAAGAGCCTGCTCTCACATTGTTTTTCAATTTACTATTAGCACCTCTAGCTGCTGCAGCCATTTTGCTAACATAGCCAATTAGCAAAGCACTCTTCATTCCTCATTGAGTTTGGATTTGTTTTTGATTTTTTCATAACATAGACACTGAGGCATGGAGTTGAGCTGTAGTTTGGTGTGGCTGAGTCTCACTGCTTAAATTCCAACCACTGCAGTTTGTTTCTTAACTAACATTTTAGATAGTTTATTCAGGATCTAAAAGGGATCTCATGTCAATCCTTTCTTCAGAACTCCCATAGGAGATACTTCCTGCTTTGCTTTATTATGTATCACACTTCTTTATCACACAGAAATATCCAACATCTCTCCCTGCAGCCCCTCCCCCAATTTCATGTCCATGGTCTCTCTCCCTATATTTTGTTTTCTATTTTGAAGACAGGGCCTCACTTCTAGTATTGCAGGCCTGCACCACCATGCCCAATTTCCTCTCCTTCCTACATCAGGTGTCAGCTCCTTAACACCAGTGCTTTTCCACCCCACCTCTGGAAATTAATATGGTTTGATTTTCTTTGTCTTTAGTTTTTGACCAGTTGGATGTTGTTTCTTATGAGGAAGTTGTCCGGCTCCCTGCATTCAAGAGGAAGACCCTGGTGCTGATCGGTATCTTTTCACAGTTTTGTTCATTCGAGAGCACAATTCTGTCCTTATTTCCATTCCTGTATTATGTGTCCACCCTTCTTCAGTTAAAGGCAGTGAAGAAGAATGGTCTCTTAGATGCTTCATACTTCATGTAGTGTGGATCTTATAAGTAATCTCTCTGGATCCAAAATAAACAGAAAATTGCAAAGTAGCTGGTTCCTCTGTGGAAATAGCAATTATGTTCTATATCTATGTTGTATCCTTAAGGATACAAAGGAATTGAAGCTACTTTGTGATCCCAGATCTTCTTTGACAGCTCTAAGGACTCAGTTGCAGCCTGGGTAAAGCACCAAACTGTTTTTATCTACTAGCCACTTTGAGCACTGGGATATAGAAATTCATCTTCCATTCCCTGTCTTGTCCCCATCAATGTCTCTGGGTGAAAGTGATGGAAACCTTTCTTTATTCTCACACAGGAGCCAATGGGGTAGGTCGCAGCCATATTAAAAATGCTCTGCTCAGACAGAATCCAGAAAAGTTTGTGTACCCTGCCCCATGTAAGTATTTTTCAGGTGCCTTAGAGGGGAACATTATACCCTAAGGGATAGGCAGCAATGTCATGTTACTGAATTTAGCATCAGTAATTTTTTTTGAAATGTCATGTAGTCTTGTTCTTGTTTTATTTTAGATGTTTAATTATGAAAACTTAAATTTGAGGGGTTGGGGAAATACCTTTTGTCAGTAAAGTTCTTTGGAAATGTGAGGTCCTAATTTTAGTCTTTGAAAGCCACATTGAAAAGCCTGGCATGGTGGCATGCACTGTTAATCCCATGGAGGTGGAGATTAAGGATCTGTAGCCTTCTTGGTAGTATTCAAGATCAATGAGAAGACCCTATCTTTAAAAAGAAAGATGTATACAGCACCCAAAGAATGTTACCCAAGGCTGTCCTCTATACATGAGCATATGCGCCAACACATATAAAAAACCCTAAAAATTTGGAAACATAAACATGTACTTATGGGGCTGGGGAGAGGACTGCTAACCGACAACATGAATTGAATCCCTAGAATCCACTTGGCAGGAGAGAACTGACTCCCACAGATTGTCTTCTAACTTTCATATGCACACCATGGCATATCACACTTTTCTTATTCTCTTATTGCATATAACAGTACCTATAGTAAACATTATTTTTTTAAAAAAATTATTAAGCCTGGATATGGTGGCACATGCCTTTAATCCCAGGCAAATCTCTGAGTTCAGGTCCACCCTGGTCTAGGAAGTGAGTTCCAGAACAGCCAGAGGTACACAGAGAAATCCTGTCTTGAAAAACCAAAAACAAAGAAAATAAGCAAGAATTAAATTTTATGTACATTGCTTTACAAATGATTTCCCAGGGTCCTCTACTCTCTAATTCTCTACTGTCTAATTCAGTCTGAGGACTATTTTATAGTCCTTTTATGTAGATAGTATAATTTGAATAGTGGATATACTATAGTTCTTGTGGCTATTTTACATTAATATTTAGGCTACCTTTAATGCTCATGGAATTACTTTTAAATCAAAATAGTGCTTAGGGAAGGCCTGCTCAGTCACAGCAACAAAGAGATATAAAAGAAAATAAATCCAGTGGTCATTTAGACCAGTAGATAACTTTCCCATGCCCGGATGTGAATCTATACAGTACAATTCTTTATATTCTCAGAAGGGGTACTGCTAATCAAATTAGAAAACCAGGATGTGAACCTGATGTTATTTTTTTTAATTCTTGTTTGTCTTTTTACACATGGATCATTTATTGAAAGTTGCTCATAGGAACAGTGAGAGTCATTCCAGTAGAGCAGAAAACAGATGTCCCAGTAAAGTCTAGGGTTTGTATGCATGTATGTATGTATATGTATATGTAAAGAGCCTGAGATGCAATTGCAAGTTGAGGGGAAGGTAAAGGAGATGGATCCCCATCAGAGGATAAAAAGATGGGAATATACAATTTATCTCTGCACTAGAATGTGTGTATGTCTCTTTCTAAGGTAAAGGAGATGTTTCATCAGAGGATAATCTCTGTGTCTGTCTGTGTGTGTGTGTGTGTGTGTGTGTGTGTGTGTGTGTGTGTGTGTGTGTGTGTGTGTGTGTGTGTAAGGACAATGTATGTCTGTTCTTCCTTTCCAACATATGTGGTTCCAAGAGTTGAACTCAGGTCATAAGCCTTTTGTGGCAAGTGCTTTTTATCTGTTGAGAAATTGTCATCACCAACATTTTAACAAAATGTTTAAACCAAGCCAGTGTATTCTTTCCATGTCATTAAAAAAGAAACAGAGCTGTAGAGATGGCTTTGTTGTTGAGTGCTTGCTGCTCTTGCAGAAGACCAGAGTTTGCTTCCCAGTACCCACATTAGGCAGCACATAACCACCAGTACCTCCAGATTCAGGGATCTGATGCTTTCTTCTGGCCTCCATGGGCAGAACATACATGTACACTCATACACATGTAAACTATTTTTAAGGATTTCCAGAAATTCTCTACCACAGCCCGTAGATCTGTATTAAGTTTCTGCTGTCATTTCTGAGTTTCACTATTCCTGGGTTTGTTGGTTTTATGTAGGAAGAATGGTGTGAATATATTCTACATGGGGCTCTCTTGAAATTTAAATATATTCTGGGTAGATTTTCTGGTCTGTACTACTTCCTAGCATCAGCCCTTTGGGAGTTCATGGGAAGAACATCTGTATTATATTATCAGCCCCAAACATGGGTAGGGTTTTCATACACACTTTGGGCCAAGCCATTAAGAGATGGCAAAGATCAAGAGCTCATCAAGGATTTGAGTCCTTGTACACAGATACAACACGACCGCCAAGGAAGAGTGAAGAAGATGGAAAGGAGTATCACTTCATCTCAACAGAGGAAATGACAAGGAACATCTCTGCCAATGAATTCTTGGAGTTTGGCAGCTATCAGGGCAACATGTTTGGCACCAAATTTGAAACAGTGCACCAGATTCATAAGCAGGACAAGATTGCCATCCTTGACATTGAGCCCCAGGTGGGTAGGCACACAAAGGCAGGAACAATGGGTTCAGCCATATAATGGGGGAAGGGAGTGATGAAAAGCAGAGCTCCTAGAAACCTGGAAGCTCAGGTTTACTTCCTAAACTTTTAGTGGGTTCAGCCTGATGCAAGAACAGTAGTACTGGGAATAATACATAGTGGTGTTGGGGATTGGTAATGCTTATTAGAAGGAATACATTTTGATAGTTGTGTTGTTTCTTTTCCTTTTTTCCTAGACCCTGAAGATTGTTCGAACAGCTGAGCTTTCACCTTTCATTGTGTTCATCGAACCTACTGACCAGGGCACTCAGGTAGGAAAGGGGTGTCATGTAAGGTGGGTGGAGGTCCACTCCTAGATCCTGGTCAGTTGTTTCATCCAAGGCCAAGAAGACAAAGGGCGTGCATACTTTACTCATTCGAGAGATATTAAACAAGTCAGGCCCAGTCATTGTCCCAGATAATTCAGATCTAATGTTTGAAATGGACAGTTGAGTAAACCCTGATTCTAAGATGATATGAACTCATCACAGAGCAGACAGAGGGAGCTGTGAAGGAGAGGTGGCACTAGATTCACCAGTGGGTACAATATGGCTACAAGGGAAAGAGTGGCTGTTTTCCTTTTCCTCTATAGCACGTCATTCATCGCATTAAAAAAATTGCTAACATTTTAAAAGTGTGGTATTTCACTTTGTTTTACTCTAAGAGATTGTTTTCTTACTTCTGAGAGTCAGTCCCAGCACATAATGGGTGAAAGGACAATCATTCCAAAGCTAGAGTTACACCAGAGTTTGAGGTCAGCCTGGGCTAAAGTTCAAAGCCAGTCACAGCAAATTAGTGAGACGAGACTGCCACACAAGCAAAACAGCTATTTGTGTATTTGTGTTGCTTGTGTATGAATTGTGTCTGTCCCCAACTCATGTTTCTATTGGATTAGTGGCTTGATCTTATCATCCATTTCTAAAAATTCTACATTTGATTAAGTATTTCACTGATAACCAGTTACAAATATCCACCCCCATCATGGCTTCTATTTCTTCCTTACATTTTTACTTTTATGTAGTTTACTGACCAAATAATCTTTGTTCTTATCCTAGGATTACAACTCTAGTAGTGGTTAAAATGGCTTTTCCATGTACTAAGGGATAAAATTAAGTGGATGATGCTAGTGAAGCCTATGCTAGGTTGCTGCTGGCCTTTCAGATGGCCTTATTACTTAGATTAATTTGGAATCTTTAGTACGATGGGTCTCTGGGTCATGGCACCTTTAGCAAGCACTAGCTCCAAAAATATTTACATTATGATTCATAACAGCAAAATTGTAGTTATGAAGTAGCAATGAAAATAAATTTATGTTTACAGGTTACCACAACATAAAAGACTTTTAAAGGGCGCACAGCATTAGGAAAGTTGAGAACCACTGCTTTAGAATGTAGTGTTCTTAATTGGAATAAATAGTAGATAGGGAACCAGTTAATTTAACCAATACCTGTTCAAACCCTTCCCGTGGATGCTGAGTTGGGCTGTTTCAGTTATGGCTTTCTTCTTTGCAGACTGAAGCCCTGCAGCAACTGCAGAAGGACTCTGAGGCCATCCGTAGTCAGTATGCTCACTATTTTGACCTCTCTTTGGTGAATAATGGTGTTGACGAAACTCTTAAGAAACTACAAGAAGCCTTTGACCAGGCTTGCAGTTCGCCACAGTGGGTACCTGTCTCCTGGGTTTACTAGGATCACAGAATTTGAGAACCTGTTCCAGCCCCTCCCCAGCATTTGGAATGTCGTCCCCCTTGCTTAAACCAAACAGGGCTGCTTCAACTTCTAGCTATCTGGAACTGTCTTAAGGATGTCAGTAGGATTCAAGTCTTTTTACTCAGACTCCTAAAGGGTATAAGTTTAATTTTCCTACTATCTAGATTTCAAAATGACCTCTGGAAATTAGCAGTGCTATCCAAATGCAAATGCTGCACAGAAAAACCAATTATCCTTATCCCTCTGATGCTTGAGCTCCTTTACTTTCAACTATCTTGTCTCTTTACTCTGGAATTAAGTATACTCTGAAACTTTCTAAAATGCCAAAATTAAATAGCTGTGCAATAGTACAACTGCTCTAGACAAACCCTCCAAAGCAATAAAAATTATGGTGTGATAAAATGTCTGTGGTTTTGTAATTGCATTTCCATCTGCATCACAATTCCCTAAAAAAAAACAGGTGTTATCTTCTTAAACCTCCCAGGCAATGGCATCAACACAATGACTTTTCTGGATTTAACATGTGGGTAAGGTTCTTTACAACAATGTACCTGGAAAACCTGTCACTGCCCCCTATACGTCTCTAAGGGCTGGTGTTTATAGAGCCTAAAATTGTCTTCTCTAGGTAGAAGCCACTGTGGGCACTTTTTTTTTTTTTTGGTTTTTCGAGACAGGGTTTCTCTGTATTGTTTTAGAGGCTGTCCTGGAACTCACTCTGTAGACCAGGCTGGCCTCGAACTCACAGAGATCTGCCTGCCTCTGCCTCCCGAGTGCTGGGATTAAAGGCGTGCGCCACCAACGCCTGGCTACTGTGGGCACTTTTATGCTTCCTACTAAGTCATACTAGAATGAATGAAAATGCATCTTACATAAGCAGGAGTTAAGGGCTAGGGTTGGGGCACTTCACACTTGCCTAGCCCCAGGCTTAGACTGTTGCTGTACCATAAAATATTCAAAACTTCTGCTTGTATTCTCAGCTTTGCATACACATTTGAGTAATCATTTGTTACACCCCATCCCACCCTTTTCTCCTTGCAATCAACACTAGACCTGGCAATTTCCTACCTCAACCCTGACACCCTTAATCCCATCTGACCTGCTGGCACACTACACATGTACTTTTTCCCCTCTGTTCTGGAGAACACTGGATTTGTAATGACCCCTCCCCTCCTTGAGAGCAGGTGATAGGCCCTAATGCCAGTATAAGACACAGAATTAAAAAACTTAAAAGTAGACAAAGGAAAAGCAAATTTCCAATAGGACAAAAAGATCCCCAGCTTTTTAATAAAAATATTTCATTTTTGTTTTGCCAGCCTAAGATTATCAATTAGTAAATCAAATACTTTTTAAAGCTATAAATTACATTCTTTTCCCAGCAATGAACAAATATAGGAATGCTTTGGCTTCCCCTAAAAACACAAGTAGCCAAATGGAGCTGGATAAATCTTGTACACAACAACGCACAGTGAGTGCTAGCCCAAACACCATGGACACTACCAGGCCATCAAGCCATATATATCTAATACCAGAATAGAACAGCCCTCACAGGATACTAGAGATAAGATTTCCCCAGTGAATATGTTCAATTACATTCTTCTTTTAATCACAGAAGGTTCTATGCCATTTTATTTAGCAGATTTAATTTTTACAAACATTAAAAAAGCAAACTAGGAGAGGACTATCTATGACATTGTTTAAAATGGCCATTAGTAAACAGCTGCAGTTAACTAGGCAGTGCTATGTCTGAAGGTGTGCTTCCCCACTCAAGCAAGCAGAGGGTTCAGTGGCAAAAACCTCATCTCTCATATCCTTAAAACAGGACAGGACAGGATGAGATGGCCACACCCTAATTACTGAGGTCACAAGTGGCAGCTAAAGTATACCAGAACTCTGTACTCTGTTTGGGACCTCTGTTCTACTCCCTCAACAAAATGTTTTCTCAATAAGGCTTTCATTTCTCCTCCTAGCTGGACATAATGCTTCAAGTGGCCTTACTATTCAGACATCTCTTCCACCACTTTTACTTTCTTCTTCTTTTTCTTTTTGGTGGTGTCACTGTCCTAAAGAAAGAGAAAGTAAGTTCAAAGTACCCATTGCCAAAATATTTATGACTGTTCCTAAAAGAAATCTGGTAAGTTGCAGTCAAGTCTTTCAGGATCTGTGAGGACATATGAGATTAAACAAATTTTGCCTGTGACCGAGGTCTAGTTTCATAAGGGCATTGAGCAATCAAGGTACACAGCTTCCCTACCCACCAGAAACATAATCTGAACCATGATCCATTGCTCTAAAATGCTAGGTGCCCCTACTTGTCTGTCCAAGAGGAATGGGCATAGCAAATCCAGAACACAGGCAGCACCAGAGGCAAAGTTAGAACCCCACTCCTAAACTACAATTACTGCCAAAAACTCAACTAGCACAAAAGCACCCATGGTTTATACATACCCCATCTCCAGCCTCGCCCCCACTTTCTAGCACAGTTTTAGGCTTCTTATCCTTCTTATTCTTCTTTTCCTTCTTTACCAATTGGGGAACTATTAGAGGGGTCTCATCACATTCACTTTCACTCTCCCGCTTCCTCTAAGATAAAAAATAATTCATCCAGTTAGAAATGTGGGAAGTTACTAAGAAAGATTCCAAGTAAACCCAACAGTAATTTTTTTTGTCTATAAACTTAAATACTGCCTGTTATAAATATTTGAAAAGACAGTATCTCACTAAATAATAGTACAGTAAGCCATGGGCCATCATGGGTATGCCAAAGCAGTTAGAAGACCTTGAGAAACTGTCTTAGTGAACCAACTCCTAGATTAGCAAATTCTCCCTAAGGTGCTCAAACAGGCACAAACAAATCACAAATTCCACATAGCTTATTACTAGTCACCCAGGTTTCTAACGGAAAACATACCATTTGGGGCTCTAACGACAACGGCCCAACCTTTGGAAGCTAAGTTACCACCATATGTTTCACGTCACTCTTTTCCTATAAACAGTGAACTAGCATTGGCTGAAGACAGTTGCATGTATCTGACAATTCTGTTCCCTGCTGAGTTTCCTATAGGCCTCTAATTCTAGCACACTTAAGGCTTTACCTATTTGACCCAGGAGCCAAGGTCAGTTTACTTTCTTTTTGTTTTGGAGACAGCATTTCTTCTGTTTAACAGCCATGGTGGTCCTGGAACACACTCCCCCTTCGGCAGACATAACTGAACCCAACAAGCATCCTCATGTATCAAACAATATTTGTGTGTGGACATGGATAAAGCCTGTCTTACTAGCTAAGACATAGAGCTGAACCACCTTGTTAAACATTGGGGTATCTTAGCGTTCTCTCTTCAAGTACATTTCTTTCTTTTTGTCCTTTGGTTTTTTTGAGACATGGTTTCTCTGTCTAACAGCCCTGGCTGTTCTGGAACTCGCTTTGTAGATCAGGCTGACCTGGCTTGAAGCACATTTCAAACAGATCATGTCACTCACTTTTATGACTTTTACTGCTTCAGCAGCTAACTGAGGGGCTTGTAATGCTTCACCAACTTGTGCTTTCTTGACAGAATCACTGAAAGACAAAGAGGTAATAAGATGTTAAATTCATTGAAGAGCTTTCCATTATGGTACTGATATCACATCCCCTGTTATCAATGACACTGGGCAACCCTAAAGCCTCCATGAAAATACTGATGCTGGACAGAAGAACCCACCAGGTGTTTTTGCAGAATGATTCTCTTTATAGTCCATACCCTGACTAGTAGGTAGGTTCAGACCTGTACAGTAGTAGTTAATACCTGGCCCAAGCAAGGAAAAGAAAACTGAGCTGCAGTGTTAGGACCTATGACCTAGTATTTAGCAGTTGTCCCCAAATAAAACCTTCCACTTCCCTCTTGGCTATCTTATCTAGTCTCCTGTTCTCACTTATAATCAATGACCAAATGGTAAGTATTCTACATTACCCCAATCTCAGGAAAACTCTATACCTGTAGTCAATGTAGTCCTGTTTCCAGGTGGGAGGGGTGTTGTCTGTTGGTCTACCATGCTTGTCCAGAAGGCCCTGCTTGATCATCATCTTCTTCTGACTTGCCTGTTAGCATTTCAAGCATTAGACTATCATCAACAGAGGAAGTAGTTATGATCACACACCATGGCTTACACTCAGTCTGCATAAAATGTCACAAGGTTTCTTATGTATTCTCAGCAGGGTTCCATGCCCCTTACTAACCTGTCTTAAATTCCTCCCTCTCCTCTTATTGCCATCAATATCTAATCTATTCACAATGGCTTAAGTGAAAAGTCCTTGCACTCAAGAGGCAGAGGCAGGTGGAGTTCTTTGCCTGAACTACAGAGCAGGTTCCAGAACAGCCAGGGCTACACAGAGAAACACTGGGAAAACAGAAAGAAAAAAACTTTTACTGTGGATACTCCAGGAGTCAGAGACTTCCTTCATATTCTTGACAGTCATAGTTCACCACCCAACTGTTTCCCTCAACTAGACTGAGAATCTCTGAAGTACAAGATAGGGCATGCCTCTGATCACCATCAATAATCTAGAGCCCCAAATAATAAAATAATAAGACACACAAAAAGCTGCATGAGTGGGTATTTAAGTAACACAAATATAACCCAACAAGGGCTACCTAGTATCACTGACCTTTGGACCTAAACCCCACTTTCGAGGATAAGTGTCTCTCTCCATGATCACCCTCTTTATCTTGGCTACTATACCATGGTCACATGTAGAAATCACTGCTGTAGTCATCAATGCAATAGCTGGAGGCATTAGAAAAAGAAAAAAAGAAAGATATTAGGTGAGTTCTACTGTTTTAGAATTCATTAAATCCTGAACTCTATTACCTTATCTGCCAAGTTTCCTTTGCTCGGGATATATGTATGGAGAAGTCTCCACTACAGCAATAAGCATTTGAAGTCATTAAATTTACCAAATTAAAAAACTCTAGAAAAGCAACTGAAGAAACATGTAACAAGCCATGTGTCTCTGGACAGGTACAGGTCTATAAAATATTTGAAGTTTTAAGAATCTTTCTTCTGCTATATATCAGAATGGACCTTCCACAGGTATACCATCTTCTCATAGAACAAGGGATCCCAATGCCATGATGGGTGCAAATTAGGATTATTAAATGAATAGCTTGGACTTTAGTGAGAAGGCCACAGAGCACTATATGTTGTAAGGGATAATCAATCCAAGAGTAGCTAAACCTTTACAAAAGTCATTTATGTGCCAGCACTCAGGAAGCAGAGGTAGGTGGATCTCTATGAGTCCAAGGTCAACTCGGTCTACAGAGGGAGTTCCAGGATAGTCAATGCTAAAAAGAAACCCAGTCTTGAAAAACCAAAAGAAGTCACTGAAAGCAAATAAGCAGTGAATTAAAATCTCTCCCTTAATCATCACAGACACCATCACTACACTCTTACACTTGGAGTTTCTATAAAGAGCCAAGAGCATATAAATGTACAATATTTCTTTCTCCTTAAGCTGTACCTGATTAATCTGCCCGTTCATAAGTTGTCCGTACAAACCCAAGAAGACATCTTAATTACATAAAATTGAGGGACCATGACATGGAACTGGCCCACAATGATCCTAGCTTTGATGGTGCAGAGCCCCAACTCCAGAAATAATGAGAGCTACCCCCCTCCTTACCCATGCAGATAGCTTCCCCTTTAGTGGTAATGACCACAATCTCCTGGTTGACCTCAATGCCATCCTCATATCGGAGAACACCAGGAAGCATGATCTTGGCCCCATAGCAAATTGCATTCACCTATGGAGACAGTATCAAATATAAGGGCCTGATGTTCCACTTCCATACCAGAACTGAGAAAGACTATAAAGGGGGAAGTGGGGTAGCACTGATAGTCCACTGACTACAATGGAGTAGGAAAGAACACAGAACATTAAGTAACAAATACCTATCACATGCTAGCACTGCTCTAAAATTTTCACATACGCTACACAATACTAAAGAAAACTTTAAAGATGACTCATCAAATCTGATGGCCCACATTCAATCACAAAGCACATAGATGGAAGGAAGAAACTGACTCCACAAAATTAAGCTCTTAGCTCCAAATACACATTGCAGTATGTGTGTTCACACACATACATATATCACAATACATACATAAAATAAAAATAATGCTTCCCCTCCTCCTTCACTGATCTATACAAGTAGGGTATTGGACTCTTATTATGTGGCCCATGAACATTGTCATCTAGAGTAATAATAAGCCAAAACCCAGGGCTCTCAAAAATAACGTAACTCCAGTCCAAAGGGATCCAAATCCCTTTTCTGACCTTTGTAGGCCCCAGGTGTGCATGTGGTACAGACATACATGCAAACAAAATGCTCATACACATAAAACAAAATGAATCCTGTCTTAGGGACCAGAAAAACAGCTCAGCAGGAAAAGGTACTTGCCCTGAAGCCTGATTACCCAAATTTGATCCTTGTAATCCATATTGTGAAAGGAGAGAACAGCCCCCAAACATTGTCCTCCACCAACTTCTGTACATATGCATACACATACATTCAACCCCAGAGAAGCTAGGTAAAAAGGAGGAACCCAAGAAAGGAGGGTTCCAGAAAAGGGAACAGTTAGCATCTACTGGGTAAACTGGGAAGGGTAGAAGAGAGGGGATGGGAACAAACATGAGGGTTGAGTTGGTGGAGGCATAGAAAGGGGAAGCAATGAAAGAGATATCTTGATAGAGGAAGCCATTATGGGGTTAGGGAGAAACCTGGTGCTAGAGAAATTCCCAGCTAAGACTCTAAGCAATAGTGGAGAGGATGCCTGAACCGGCCTTCCCCTATAATCTGATTGATGAATACCCCCAACTATCATAGAATCTACATCCAGTAACTGATGCAAGCAGATGCAGTGACCCACAGCCAAGCACTATGTTAAGCTCCTGGAAGTTAGCTGAAGAGAAGGAGGAGGGATCACATGAATAAGGGTGGGAGTTAAGACCATGATGGGGGAAAACTGCAGACAGCAGACCTGAGCTAGTGGGAGTTCGTTGACTATGGACTGAGACAGCTAGGGAACCTGCATGGAACCAAACTAGACCCTCTGAATATGGGTGACATTAGTGTGATTTGATCTGTTGGGGAAGGGGCACTGGCAGTGGCACCAGGACCTATCCCAAGAGCCCATTTCCTATGGTGGGAGCCTTGATACAGGGGGGATGGGTTTGGTCCTACCTCAACTTGGTATGCCAGACTTTGTGGATTCCCCAAGGGAGGCCTTACCCCAGCAGAAGAGTGGGTGAGGGATGGGGTGGAAGGAGGGGGAAATAGGGCTAGCATGTAAAGTGAAAATAAACAAACAAACAAATAAATAAATGGTTTTGGGCCTGGAATTGATGGCACACACCTTTAATCTCAGCACCTGGGAGGCAGAGGCAGGTGGATTAAGGACAGCCTGGTCTATAGAGCTAGTTCTGGCCAGCCAGTGATACAAAAAGAAACCCTGTCTCATTTTTTAAAAAGCTGTTTTTTTTTACCATAAAAACAAGCAAAAACGCCGGGCATTGGTGGCGCACGCCTTTAATCCCAGCACTCGGGAGGCAGAGGCAGGCGGATCTCTGTGAGTTCGAGGCCAGCCTGGTCTACAGAGTGAGTTCCAGGACAGCCTCCAAAGCCAGAGAAACCTTGTTCTCGAAAAACCAAAAAAAAAAAAAAAAAACCAAGCAAAAACAAAAAATCAAAACCTGACTCAGAATTTTCTATCAGTGTTCCATAGAACTGCTCTTGAATTTTTGTCAGGAAAAAATAGCACATTTACAAGAAATGAAGCAATAACAGACATAACAGATGCCCAAAGCAACTTGCTAACAAAATCACCAGACCTGTCAAATCAAATCTACATTTCTATATGAAATTATCCCGTAAGTACAAATTAAGGCCACCTCTCCAGTTCTGCGACCCCAAATGCATGTGTACATCTCTTATCATCTTGTCTTTTCTAGATCTCTTGCTGACCATATTCTAAGTTCTCTTTAAATTCACTCAGAAGCCTACAGTCTGACCCTAGCATAAGAAAGGCACATCACTTCCAGGACAGCCTCCAAAGCCACAGAGAAACCCTGAATCAAAAAACCAAATAAAAGGCACCTCACATTTATAGACTTCATAGACTTATGCGGTTAAGCTTCCTGTTAGTGTCACACCTTAGTGTATCTCTTTCGTATCTCTTCAATTTTTTCCCTTTAAAACATGTGTTTTCAGAAGACTTACACATTTTAAGGTTTAAATATGTCTAAGTATCTAACCACAAACTGTTATACATACAGAAATTAGTCTGTCAAAAAATCATGACTACATAATATTCATTTAAATTATTAGGACCATTTCTAATAACAAGGTAATACAGTAAATACACAATAAGAGCTGGTAATCAGTAAAGTCTGGATTATAGTGTCTCAAATGATAATGTACTTCAACAGAAGAAAGGACTATTTCCTTGAAATCCCTACAGGGTGAATAACATACCTCTAAAACTCTCCAGTCCTAACCTTTACCTATTGAAAACTCTTTTATAGTAACTTAAATAAATCAAGATTATTTTAGGTACAGACAGAGCAACAAATTAAGAGGGAAATTGAGATATCACTGATAGTTTAGTACTTGAACAAAGTTGCTTGGGAAAGACTCTTTCAATATTAAATTCATGTTATTGAAAGTCTACTTTAAAGTGATATACCTGGTTTTAACCTAATAACAAATCTAGCCATAAATATTTCCATTATTAGAATCTACACAACTAAAGCAGAATAACCACAAGGAAAATAAAAGAACAATAAATATGACTTCACAATGTTCATATTTCATCTTTGGAGAGACATTCTCTGCAAACATGGACTCTTAACCCATAACTTACTGCACTATCTTTCATAACCAGACGTTTATGAGATGTCAACAGCTTTTCCAAAGGGTAAACAACACGCCGCAAGTAACTCTCATCCTTATGGTTATCATACAGCCACTGAGCATCAAGTACATCATGCATTGTCACCATGTGGTCCTGAAAAGCAGTCAGATATTAAATTCTATGTCTTCATACTATATATCCATTTATCAGACCCCCAAACTTTTTACACCGAATGCAACTACACATTGTCTTATAGTTCAGGCTCATCATGAGACTTTTGAATCTCCTTTGGGGTATTTGTACATGTTGCCATCTTAGCTCTAGGTAGGTACTCCATTTTTTTGTACTGCTAGGGATGGAACCCAGGCGTTTGCAAATGCTTGCCAAGTGCTCTTAACACCAAGTCACACCCTCAAGATATAAGCAATATTGGTGTAGACTAGGAAGTATATGAATAGAGTGATTTCTCTATTCACTCATTTCCATTAGCCAATTTCAATGTCCCAAAGTTTAATTAACAGAACAGGGAAGCTTCCCTGAACTGAACTCAACGCTTTGGAATCTTTCATAAGAGGGTGTAATGCAGACAGAGTTCTACCAAGGGCAAAGAGTCTAACAATCTGTTCTAAAACCCTCTAGTCCCATTAATTGCATACCTTTTCACTCATGACTCCAGATCGAACCCTCCGAAGTTCCTGCATCTGACCACCAACTCCCAGTAGCAAGCCAAGGTGCACACATAGTGTCCGAATGTAGGTGCCAGCTTCACAGCTCACCCAAAAGATTCCTAAAATAAGACACACACACACCCACATACACAAGTAGCACCAACTTTCTAGTAAAATCATCATGATTAGAGAAAACCCTGGACATGGTGGTGCCTGGCTTTAATCTCATGAGACAAAGACAAAATTGATCTCTGTGAGAGTTCAAGGCCAGCCTGGATTACATACATAGCAAATTCCAGAGCAAACACAGCTACACAACAGAGACCCTATCTAAAACAAACTACCAAAAAGAGTAGAGTTAAGAGACACAGAAAATAGTGTATGGGTACACAACATACTCCCAAGTTTCTACTCCTAACAACAGAATCCTTGAAAATGCATTCCCACCTGCTTGTGGATCTAAAGCAATTCAGCTTGGTATAGTCCTAATGACCCACCTAATCTTCTTTCAGGATCATATTCTATCATTTTGCTCTCGTAGATAGTCCTCACCCGAAGCTGCCTCTTTACTGCAGCAATAAGTGGGGGTCGCTGAAACAGGGCACCTGTCAGAGTTTCTAGGGCCTAAGAACAAAGCAAAAAGTCATTCATTATATAAACTCATTTTTAAATAGGACAAAGGGCATATTTAGGGAGTGTAAGGATATAATTCAAACACAAAATTTTTCTTTCAATAATTTAAGAGTTAAAACACACTTTAGTTCAGTTTCCTCTTTAAGGGATGGTTCAGTGCTAATCAGAACTTCTTCCTCAGTAAAGACATGCCCAGAAGGCATCCCTATCACCAGTTGTTCTCCACCTAGGAAGCTAGAACAGCTCGTAAAAGGACACAAAATATACTAGCCAGAAAAACTTCCTTGTATCCAGACACTTAGGAGTTTAAACGCCCAAATCATCAAAAGTACCCTTCCTACAGTTATAGACTTACCCTAGAAAGCTGAGTACCCCCTTCAATAGCATTGTGCAGCCGGACAATTCCCACATACTCTTTGCCTAAAAAATGACAAAAGAGTAGTCAGGTGTGGCTACTGAGTTTTCTGGTTTTGTTTGTTTGGGTTTTTTTTTTCAAGACAGGGTTTCTCTGTGGCTCTGGAGGCTGTCCTGGAACTAGCTCTTGTAGACCAGGCTGGTCTCTCCCTGCCTCTGCCTCCCTAGTGCTGGGATTAAAGGCGTGTGCCACCACCGCCCAGTTGAGTTTTCTGTTTTATATTAAGTTCTACCACTGCCATTTTATACAGCAGACGCAACAAGGATTCCAACATCATGTTTCAATAAAATCTACACTGACAGAGTTCAAATGAAGACACTTTTTCATTGGGTCAGACATAGCACATGCCTACAACCTAAACCTGGAAGTTTGGAGGCTAGGATGGGAAGACTTGAGATTTCCATGGCAGCATGACCTACACAACAGAATCTTGTCTTAAAAAAGAAAGGAAGGAAAAAAGAACATACATAGTTTAATGCAGAGGCAGGCATGCCTAATGTTTAGTCTGACTGGAAAACACCATGCACTTTAAGAATTAATTTTCTCAAATAAAAATGATAGAAAGACACTTGAGATAAAAAGCAGGACAGCAGCAAGCATGTTGGGCAGTGGTGGCACATGCCTTTAATCCCAGCACTTGGAAGGCAGAGGCAGGCAGATCTGAGTTTGAGGGCAGTCTGGCCTACACAGAGAAACCTTGAATCAAAAAACAAACAAAAACAAAAACTAACAGCAGTAAGCATGCCCCAGCACTAGGAATGGACTAGTTAGTTCAGTATACACAAACCTAGTATCTGGACTTTAAAGAAAGAACCATATTTTGGCAGAGAACAGAATTACATAGAAACCAATGACACTTCTTCATTAAGATCTTATTTTCTAAAGAAGTTTCTAAGAGCCAAAATGTAGAAGTGGAACAAGTACAAAATGTTTTCCAATCACTAGAGATATTCCCCTACTCTCTTTACACACCTGCACTCTGTTGTGATTTAACCAAACGAGTGGCTCGTTCAATGCACACAATTAAACAACCGGTCACTTTGGGATCTAGTGTGCCACTGTGGCCTGTCTTCTCTACTCGAAGTATTCGCCGGATCCAGGCTACCACCTCATGGGAAGAGGGGTTAGAGGGCTTGTCAAGATTAATGAAACCTGTCCTAGAATAGAAAAAAAAATAATTGTACCACCCGTTCTTGTGGTCTAAAAATAGTACAAAGAAAAGCAAACTAAATATATATACTATATATTCAGGGCAAAGCTATTCTAAGCTTCCACTACTTCCTTTAATAACTAATGTAAAAGCATCAGTTTCAAAATAATTGAAGTTTGGACAGAGCCATTTCACCATGCTTACCTGATATAGTCCCCAATCTCCCTCTTCAAAGGATTTGAACCACAAGGAATAGGTGTGTAGTGTGTTGTCCTTACATTAAGCTTATCAAAATTCTAGAAAGCAACAACAAGTTTAATAACAAACACATCGATATAAATAAAACAAGAGTCAGTAAGTAGCACCACAAACCATGTCAGACCTTAAGGCCATAAATGTATATAGCTTTGTTGGTGTGATATACTATTAACCCTTCTTTTTTTTTTTTTTTTTTTGGTTTTACGAGACAGGGTTTCTCTGTTTTGTTTTGGAGGCTGTCAGTCCAGCCCGGCCTCAAACTCACAGAGATCCGCCTGCCTCTGCCTCCAGAGTGCTGGGATTAAAGGCGTGTGCCACCACCACCCAGCTTAACCCTTCTTATATAGTGGGGAAAGTCCCAATACTATATATAAAAAGACAAATCTGAGAATTTATAGTAAATGCTCTCTAAAAAGAGACTTGTTGAGGATACTGTATTGTAAGACACAAAATAGCTTTGGCTTTCTCAGATCACCCAAACTGAAGATGGCTGGCAACTTTCCTCAACATGGACAGCTTGGTTCCATTACAGATTACCTACCTTGGCTCTTTGTTCCTTTTCAGTCTCCTGACTCCTAAGGCTTTTAGCCACCAGTTAAAAAGAATTCACCAACTGAAGCCCATGTTTCATCATCAGTTTAGTTTCATCATGTCTACTACAAATAGCAATCCTTGTTTAATTGTCTCTCCCATCTCTGTGTGCTATGTTTTCCAGGGCCAGCATAAGAATGACAGCGAATTATAATCAAACAGAAAAATCAACTTGGTAGAACTTCACTATTTTACCAACACATGGTTTATTAAAATTCTTGGTTGAGCCAGTGAGATGGCTTAGTGGGTAAGGATGCCTGCTGACAAGCCTAACAACCCAAATTCAACCTCAGGAACTTACACTAGTTGAGAATGGACTTCTGCAAGTTGTTCTTTTGACTTCTGCATACATGTCACGTGTGATGTACACCCCCTATCTCACCTATACACTCTAATAAATGAACTAAAATTTTATATTTAAAAACCCTCTTTGTTAAGAGATGTCTCAACTTTATAGGTGGTATCCACTTGATGAAAATTACATTTCAGTTCAACCCATCATTCAATGCTACCATTTAAATCCCGAAATAATAACCATAAATAACATATAAGGAATTGTTAAGCATGCTTCACAGAATACCTGCTGTAACTCCCAGCACATCATCCTAAGAGAAAATATCATGAGCAACTAATAGATTCAGTGAGATTAGTTCAATATCTAGCCCAAGGTCACATACAATCTTGATTCAAAGGTGTCTGGTTTCAAAACTCATGTTCTTAGGCACTGAAACAGTCTACAAGAGATGATTTCAGAAGTGCTATTGTTTAAAAACTGACGGTAATTAACATTTTGGCGACTACAATATGCTAGAACAATGTTGGATGAATTTTTTTGTTGTTGTTTTTTCGAGACAGGGTTTCTCTGTGGCTTTGGAGCCTGTCCTGGAACTAGCTCTGGTAGACCATGCTATTCTCGAACTCAGATTTCCACATGTCCCTGCTTCCAGAGTGCTGGGAATAAAGGCGTGTGCCACCAACGCCCGGCTTTTTTTTTTTTTTTGGATGAATTACAAAGAATAACTGGGTCATTCATCTCCATTTCAGATACATTGAAAAACTGTCTTAATACCTCATCATTTGACAGTTTTCTAAATGCAAAACATGCTGGTACTAGGCATTCCTTTTTCTCTCCGAGACAGGGTCTCTCCCGTGTAAAACAGGCTGGCCTAGCCCACTGGGATTAAAGGCATGCCTAGGCCAGCAACAAGCATTCTTTATTAGCTGTTTAATTAGAACTAATATGAAATTCAAGCATTTATCTGATACACACTGCACATACCTTTAGTAACAAGGGCCACTGAGAAGTGTCTAATTGAGCCACTTTAGATTCTGGTTTGATAAGAAATTCTTCCGCGTGTTGTATTTCCTTCAATAAAGCAGAAACATATTACCTTCCCACCTGACTTTGAACAATTCTAACACTAAAACAGAAGTGCATGAGTTTTAAACAAACAAGAGGGAAGGGGGGTGTTGATTTCTGAAACTGAGTATCACTAGGGACTCTGAAAGAGAACTGAAAAAGGAGCTCACTAAACTTTGGGGATAGGGAGTTAAATTCAAATATTTTAACACAACTGTGGGTTTGCTGATGGAATAAGGAAGAAAAATTCAGCGAGAACATTTCAACATTTAGTAAGCTATACATGATAGAAAACTTCTCTGGGAATTGTGTGATTTCAGGTTTTTGCTGGTTCTACATAATGACCACCAAGTGCCAATATACTGCTTGAGACTATTTTAAAGCATTTCCCCCTTTAAATGTGTTTAAATTATCTCAATCTCTCTCACTCAAAGGAAAGTAAAACATTTCCTACTCACAGCTACATCGTCTTCTTGTAATGGCTTCCGGTCTTTTTTCTTCTTATGCTTCTTTGGGACAGTAATTACTACAAGAAACAAACTCGAGATTTGGAGATTTCTTTGAAACTAAAACCAAAGTTTAAAATTAATTCTAAAATCAGGACAGACAGAAGAAAATAGTTTTAAGTCTAGCATTACTGAACAAAACTTATATTTGTAAGGCCAAACACTAGATGGCTTAGCTGGTAAATGACTCTAGCACGTGTTGGCTTCCCTTCGGGTTTTCCACGTGGCTATGGCAAGGCCAAATATACTTAGGGAAGCGCTTGTCCACAGGCTGGAAAGTTCCACAAACAACCACTGCACCATCCGTAAGGGCTTTTAATCTCTTAAAATACCCCTGCAAGTCTGAGTTACACTGGCTCCCGGCTCCTCTGCACCTTTACTATCCTCGTTTCAGTAATATCCCGTCTAATGGCAGAAGAAAACGCTACTACGTCTCCTTGTCAGGAGAGTCGCCTTCATGGCTGAGATGCCTTTGGAAGGGGACCCGGTGAAGTATTTTGCGCGAGGCCCGGACCTAATGGATCCAGTAACTGGAGGTTTCTAGCACTCGTGCATTCGCCTATAAAGCTAGGGCCTAGCGGCAAAGCAGCCAGACAGAGAGCGGGAATGTGCGGAACCGCAGATCACGATACAACCTCACTATCACTAGCTCACAGCTTATCAGGAGACGGCTCAGGTCTCAAGGCGCGACCATCCGTAAACCTTACCTTCTGCATCCGCCATCTTGCACCGTACCGCGTGCGTCCCGCCCAAGACTCCACCAGCTAGGAATCACAGACTCCTACGGTCTGAGACAGGTCAGGCCGCGCCGCTAGGACCCGCCCACCGTTGCACCTCCCCTAGCTTGATGGTACTAGGAAAGGGAAGTGGCGAAGAGGTTGCTGGGGGAGGGGGGGAAGTCTTGAGGAACGCGCGGACTGTCTACTCAAGCCCATTGGCTGGCTATGCCCCCGTGCGACTGCGCATGCGCTTAGAAACTCCTCCCAACCCTTAGCTCTCTGCTTTGGAACCTCAGAGAGACGCCCACAGTGGCAGTCTGGAGCGAGTGGGCGTGGCCTCCACTGTGCCCTCCTCGAGGTTTCAGTCTATCTTAAGCACAAGCACATCCAACTTACCGCTCTATAAATATTATCTAATGCTAACTCATATCGACATTTTCTGTTTGCCATCATGCCATTCTCATTTGAAAAAGACATTGAGGTACAGAGAGAGTGAAAGTGAAAGACTTACTTCTTGATATCCCTATCAAGTTATGACAGTATTGGCCAATAGGAATTGAGTGCAAGCCTCGTGTGTACTTTTAAATTTTATAGCAGCCTAATCAAACTAAAAAGAATGAAAATGATTCTCAATAGTTAACTTTACATAAACCTGCACATCTGAAATCTTATCTTAACATGGAAGCAATATGTAGTAGTATGTGATATTTTACTTTTTTTCTTGCATGAAGTTTTTCCAGTGCTTCATACTTAACCTGCATACCTCGGTTCTTACTCAAGAGCCGGGATCTAAGACAAGCTCAGAGCTCTAGCGGCCGCAATATGTGTAAAAGCCAGGAAGTAACAGCTCCAGGATTTAGTCCCGACTTTTGTCTGGAAAATTCTTCTTACTGTTAATCTGTGCTGTTGCCTTCCGTGTTAAACCCCTGGAATATCCTCTTCCACCCTATTTCCTATTCTACCTCAGTAAATTCTTTTGGCTTTCTGGATACATACCCTCCTACTTCTAGTGAATATGATAGACCATTAGTTATCTAATACTTCATTGTAAATGGAATCATTTGCCAATAGTTTTCCAGTTAGTTACTGCTGACAACAAAAATATTCCTTTACTTCGATCTGCAATGCAAAGATCATATTTTTTCACTTTTGTTTTTACTGTCATTTTTATTGGTGTTTCCTTGCCCAATTTTTTCTGGAATTTATTTTGGTAATAATGGCAATGATCAGAATTGACTATTTAAGATATGGCCCTTAGAACTAAGGATTATTATTTTATAATGTTCCAGTGGTAAATATTTGGCAGAGTGAATTTTAAGTACTCATTCTCCATTTGTCCATTGGCTTTATCTTTGTACTATATGTATGCTCAAATCTTTTAGGAAAGATTTTGCTTTCAGAGAGTCCCAGAATCGGGTGGGTTTTCTTCACCCTCACTTCTCTCACCACATTATAATGTCTCTATTTCTCCAGTAACCTCCTGCAGGTCCACCTTTTTCCACTTTTCCTAAATACTTTGTCTTAACACAGCAGCCTGAAAGTGCCATTTAACTCAGGTCCTGTCTATCCTTAAAATACTTTAAGGGTTGGTGATAAGGCTCAGCAGTGGAGTACTTGCCTAGCATACCCAAGACCTTAGGATTGATTCTCAGTATTGCTAAATAAGTAAATAAATATATAATCTTTTAAATGTTCTATAGTGAGTTAAAGAGTGATCCCTTTGAGCTGAATGGTACTGACCCATGCCATCAATCCCAGCACTCACAAGGCAGAGGCAGGCAGATCTCTAAGTTTAAGGCCAGCCTTGTTTAGCCTGGTGTACAGAATGAGATCCAGAACAGGGTCACACAGAAAATCCCTGTCTCAAAAGAAAAAAAAAAAGACTGAACCTATGTCTACAATCTAACCTCCAGACCATAATTAATGTGATCTCATTTGAAAAGGGATGTGTGCAAACGTAATGAAAGTAAGGATTTGGGGGTTTTCTGTTTGTTTGTTTTTTTAGGAAGATGTGAGTGAGCCTGTTAGGGATCAGGGACGGTCTTGAATTTACAACAAGATGTTCCCTTAGTCTCCCTGTTACTGGGATTACAAGTGTGTCCCACCTTGCTTGGTGAAAATAAGGATCCTGAAATAAGGTCATCCTGTATTAAGTGGGTAGGCCTGAAAAACAAAAGCAAGTGTCTTTGTAAGAGAAAAGATACACAGACAGGAGGAAAACACCGTGTGAAAATGGATGCAAACTTAACTGTGCACAGGTGTCATCACAGAAGAAAGGAAGCTGAACAGGAGAATGTAAACTTGAAGCTAGATAAGGGGGCACAGTGAGACCTTGTTTCACCCCTTCTCTGCCAACAATAACAAAATAGGCAAAGATTGAGTCCTTTCAGATTTCTAGTCATTGGGGCTGTGGAGCTAAATTTCTAGGGTTTAAGTCACTTGATATATATATTAGGAAATTCATAAACCATCTAACTAAGAGCAAAAAAGCCAAAGTCCTTGCAATGGCTGTGCAAATAGTACTCTTCTGAGTTCCTGTCTTTCCACTTGTACTTATTCTCCCCCCTCCCGCCACGATGCTGCAACTTGGCAGGAATGAAGATACTCTCAACAGACTCTTGTTTCTCTTACTTGGGCTGTCAGGCTATTGAAACATGGGCCCAAGAAAGTGGAATTCTCCCAGGAATCTCATGCTGGGAGAAGAAAAAACATAAAGGCTGGACTATCCATAGATAAAAAAGGAAAAGATTTCACGAAGTCCTGACAGTTTGGTTTGAAACTGAATCCTGGACAGTAATGGGTCACTGATAGGCAGGGATCACACCTATACTGGATCTACTTAGATGTGTGTGTATCCCCTGGCACTCTGTTTAAACTTAAATCTCACTTCAGGACCCAGAGAGGGACTAGGAGTCACTGTGGCTCCTTGTCCTTCTTCCCAATGTAGCCATATTGAATAAATACTTTTTTCTACTTTCCCCTGTTAATTTGGCTGTTTTCATTGTCTTTAAAGGATGGATGGCAAAGCATGCCTTATAGAGACACAGACTGTGACCCCAACTCTGGCAACAATGCCCTTTGGCTGTTTCAGAGGCACTTCCCCATCTTGGGGCTTTTATACCTTTTCCCTCTGCTGCTCTCTGACTGTCTTTACACAGAATGTTACCTTTATGAATGCAGGGAAACTTTTTATCTATTTATCTAACTCCTAGAAGATTCTCAGGTTTACAAAATGAAGCCAAACTGGATTTCCCCACAAAAGATATTCACAGAAGTACCCACGACAGCCAAAATTTAGAAACAGCTCAAATTTTTATCAGTAGATGAATAAAATGAGGTTTATCCATACCTTGCAACAGAATTCAGCCATACAAAGGAATGAAGCACAGTACTAATAAATGTTACAACATAGATGTACCTCAAAAACATTATTCTAAATGAAAAAGGCCATGATTCATCTTACATGAACTAGGCAAAACAAGCAAACTATTTTTTTAAATAGTATTGCTATGTTGTATAGCCTAGTTTACAAATACTGAGGTAAAATGATCCTCTTGCCTCAGTGCACTGAGTAGCTTGTCATACTGGGCTGTACAATAAGCAAATCAGGAGATACAGAAATTAATTACCTGAGGGTGGAAGGTTTAGGAAAACAAGGGAAATGACGGCTTATGTTTTTTTCTACTTTTGTACTAGGGATTCAACCTAGGACCTAGTGCTTTCTAGGTAAGTACTCTATTATTGAGATACATCCCTAGCCATCTTCTCGCTTTTTATTTTGAAGCAGGGTCTTCTAAATTGGTCAATATGCTTTGAAATTGAAATCTTCCTTTCTCAGCTTCCAGAGTATCAGGGATTACAAATTTATGCCACCACCAAGTCTACTTAGGTGTGTGTGTGTGTGTGTTTCTTCACATCCTTCACACCCAAATAAATTCCTTTATTCAACTGCTGGTTCTGTCTATGGCACATGAGATTTTTCTACTGCCACCTGTTGTGCCTCAGATTTTTTCCTGCCTTTTAATTCTTTAACTGGCAAAGAAAACAAATCCAATCAATAATCCTAGACTTTAGCAGTTGTACACGATTTCAAGAATTGTAGAATGATATAGTCATCACTCTTTTAGATAATTTAAAGTAACAATGCATTTCCTTAAATTTTTGGTTCTGGCTGTGAACATGTGACCATGCTGAAGGGCTCACTTATCTCTTTACAGCACAAGGAAAAGATTACAAATCCCAGAGGCTTATATTTTTATCTATTACTATTCCAAATTTTAAAATTCAGTGAATTCTGTTGATTCTCTGCAAGAAAGTAGGGGCAGCTGGGGCAATTGGAAGTCAGCAGGTTCCCTAACTCATATTGAACCTCCATTGTTTGAGTAAACAACCCAGTGTTTTGTCTAACTACTCCTTCAGATGGAGCAAGGAAGGGAAAGCTCATTCCCTTCAGGCAGAGTTTCTCAGCATTGCCCCAGGACCAATTTAGAAAGGTAACGGCAGGAGAAAAACTTATGTTTGAAAACAATAGTAGGGGTTTGTAAATGTGTATATGTGCACAGGGAATATTTATATAACTGAAATGTCAAGGTTTTTGACAAACAGGAATAAGAAGATAATTTTAAGTCAGATCACATACTATTTAATATAGATGCTAAAGTTGAACTGATACTTAGGGGAAGAAGCCAATCACACAGATGTTATGTTTGAAACAAAGTGTCACTGAGTAATCAAGACTCATTCATGTCAAATTTGAAGCAATCCTCCTGCCTCAGTTTCCAAGTACTAGCCATGTTCAGTTTTTAACAACTTTTTAAGTTCTACATTTTAGTTATTTTTAAAATTTAGTAGGCATACAAAATAATGGGTTTCAACATGACGTTCTCTCTTTTTTTGTTTTTGTTTTATTGTTGCTGTTGTTGTTTTGTTTTGTTTTTAAAGACAGGGAGGGTTTCTCTGTGTAGCTCTGGTTTTCTTGGAACTCACTTTGTAGACCAGAGTGGCCTTGAACTCACAGAGATCTGCCTGCCTCTGTGATTAAAGGCGTGTGCCACCACACCCGACTTCATCATCAGGACATTTTCATGCACACATATTGCATTTTGGACATATTCACCCCTATTACTGTCTCTTTCCATCTTCTCCCTTTTCTTTGTC